AAAATTGCCCCCCCCCCCCCTTCCAAAAAAAATTAATTTTGAAGAAATTTTCTTTTTGTAAAATGTATTACAATTTCAGAGCAATCAAAATACTTATACACAAGTTATTGTCCTGAAACTAGAAAAATGATTGTTTTGGTCCCTTTTTGGCAACTAATTCCTAAATGGTTAGGACCATCACTCCCAAAAACAATCCCAACCTTCCTTTTGTGGTATTGAAGCTTGTGGTTAAATTTCATAGAGATCTATACACTTAAACTAAAGTTATTGTCCGGAAACCAAATGTTTTCGGACTATGCTGACGCCCACGACTTGATACCAATATACGACCGCAAAAATTTTTTGCGGTTAAAAATTTTGCGGTTGTATAATAATGTCATGTCATTGGTTGAATAACCATAGTTTAAGACAATTTTGAAAATATTTCCAAGAATGTGTCAGTTTCTGATATGGTGAATTCAATTTTTTTAAGTAAAAGTAAAAATAAAAGTGATTTTTACCTCATCTTCTAAGTTATATGACTTTGTTTGTCTTGTTCAGTTTATCTTAAGTCAACAGATTTTTCCCTGTACATGTATACAGTTATCAGATCACTAAACCCCCAAACAGTCAAAAAAAGAGAAATTAAATAAAAATGAATCTTACCACATATCCATTTATATTTTAAAATATAAATTAGGACAAATCAATTTTACACATCCAGGATATCAATTTAATATTGTTTGAATAAAAGTATTATAGTTTTAATCATTAGAAAATAATTTCATTTAAATCAGGAGTTCATACAAGTCATTTTATAAATCCAGGATATCACTAATAAATATCGTTTGTTTCAAAGTATTAATAATTCTAGTTTATATTAAAAAACTGAAAAATGTAAAGTACAAATACTTTAAAATGTGATAAAACACCCAATATGTCCCGAAGAAATAAGTATAGTACTTCCACATCAGGAAATATACACTTATAATTCAAATTATGTTATTTTGAATGTTCACTTTCAACAGTTTTCATTAATTATATTAGGGTTGAAAATATAGCAAGTCTGAGCTCCTAACCTTTTTTAATTCTCTTATTGACTCCACTAGGAAAATTACTGAAAAGACACAATTTTATCAATTGTTGAACTGTTCAGTCAAATGTCCTCCTTATTTTTTTTTATATTAACACCTAAATGAAATTTATGCAATACCAGTAACTATTTTTTTTCTAATTTCATAAAATAAATGTTAAGCAATAGTACTCGACCTGGCAGAATTTCTTTTGGACCTATGTAATATTTTCTCTGGAAAATCATAGACCTTATAAAAAAATTCCTGTTCCTAAACATCTCTAAACTGTAGCATAATGACTCAATGCTTATCTAAAAGATATTTGTCTTGACCATATACATGCTATTTTTAACCCCTGTGAATAAAAATTAGCTAGAGAAACAAAAAAAAATTTGTAAGGGTTCCGTGGAACACAGTGTCTCACCTACTTTTGCTATTAGTCGCAGGCTCAACAAAAGTGGGGAAAAAATTATTAAAAATTTTCCTCTTGATACTATCTTTTGATTGTAAGAAGCTTCTATCCAAGTTTGGTAAAAATCCATGATGGTTTATGAATCTAATAAATGTTTTAAAAACTGTAACTGCAGACTGTATGTAATGTTAACTGGAAGAAAAACTAAGTCCATTTATACGTAATATACAGAAAAACAGGAAATAAATTTTTACAAAACTTCCTTCTAGATACTAGCTTTTGATCATAAACAAGCTTCTGTCCAAGTTTGGTACAAATCCAGGATACGTAGTTTCAGAAAGTTATTAAAATTTTAAAACTTTAACCACAGAGTGAATGTAATATTAACTGGCAGAAATACTAAGTCCATTTATAAGTAAAATACAAATATACAGGATTTTTTTTACAAAATTTACTTCTGGATACTATCTTATGATCATAAACAAGCTTCTGTCCAAGTTTGGTAGAAATCCAGGATAGTTTAAAGAAAGTTATTAAAATTTCAAAAAAGTGAATATTTGTGGACACGCCGCCGAAGATGACGACAACGGAATGTTGGATTGCTATGTCTCGCTTTTGCGACAAAAGTCGCAGGCTCGACAATAAAAGCACTTTTCATTCTACCTAATGAAAAAAATTAGAATAAATCTGAACAAGAAAATATATGAACATTGTATGTGTATTGCATTCAATCAATTAATAGGGAAAGGAGTGGTCTTAAAATGGGGGCATCAACTGGCCTTTTTAAAGGGTTAGGAGAGCTCTTTCACATGGGGCATCAACTGGCCTTTTTAAAGGGCTAGGAGAGCTCTTTCACATGGAGAATCAACTGGCCTTTTTAAAGGGATAGGAGAGCTCTTTCACATGGGGAATCAACTGGCCTTTTTAAAAGGGATTGGAGAGCTCTTTAACATGGGGGCATCAACTTCCCTTTTTACAGGGATAGGAGAGCTCTTTAGCATGGGGGCATGAACTGCCCTTTTTACAGGGATAGGAGAGCTCTTTAACAAGAGGGCATCAACTGCCCTTTTTACAGGGATAGGAGGGGTCTTTAATATGTAGGCATCAACTGCTCTTTTTTAAACCGATTTTGTCATATGCATCTGAAATTCTTATAATTGTGATTTTTTAAACCTAATTTTTACCTACCATCCAACAGAATTTTTCTTTTGTTACCATTATTTTTAGTCTTTTTATTACATGTAACTTCACTTCTAATTTGAGTACCGGGTATGTAACATGTACAAAATGTAGGAGTACATGGATGTACCCTTTCTTCTCTCAGATACTTGTTTTAAACTTTTTGTAAATAATTGGCTGCCTGTTTAACTTCAAGCCCCACAAATCCTTCATTTCTTTTGAATGATGAAAATCCTGATAACTTGTGCTTTTTATGCTGTTTATAAGATTACTTGGTCTAATTACCACCAATACTGTACCCTATAAACTTGACAACCATGATGTAAGAGGGGGTGGACAGGGGGGTACCCTTCTCCCACCTCCCGCCCCCTATCTCCCACCTCCCACTTTTAGAATCTTTTTTTCTCTCCCACCTGTTTTTTGTCTCCCACCTCCCTTCCTCCCACCTCCCAACCCCCTCCTCCCAGCTTTATCATAGGATTCTTGACTATAGTAAGTAAAAAAAAAATTTTTCACTTCTTCAGAGCTGTCTTTTTTTTTAATTTTAGAAGTCTTAAATCTCGTCAGATATTATATTTTGTAAATGTAACAGTTATGTTAGTTCAGATTGTCTCACGAAGTCTTACACTAAAAAATTCAATCACAACATAGAACACATATCGAGAAAACGGAGATCAGTGACAACGTCCAACGGGAAACGAACTGATTTGATACGATTAACGATTTTCTGAATTTCATAGAATGTTCACCTTTATTAAACCTTTTATTCATAAAATTATCTGTGATACAAGCTGCTTTCCTTTTATTAGACATAATATTGCTGTTGTTATTTAAATTCATCAACAATTTGCCGCTTGAAAATATACTGCTAAATCGTCGCATTTTAAAGCGCTCTTACGATACAGATACAGACACATGGTTTATAATTATCACTTCCCCTACTTTGGAGGTGTGCCTAAATTGGCAGAAGATAGATCTATACTTTAACGCGGACCTCGACGAAGACACCTATAAACATGCACATGAACGGCGTAGAACGGAGATTATTAAGGAATGAAAGAAATTAGATTTGAACGATCTTCAAAAGAATTTTACACATTTTTTTTTTGTATTTTTATTTTTTCTGCCGGTACCAGACGCTTCCGTAGGCGGGTAAAAGTACCGGGTACCGGGTCTTAATGAATGCACTGATTAGTCATTGCTTTACGCCGCATAAGCACAAAAGGGCTATATTGCTGTGACAAGATTAGTCATGAAATATTTAGTACACACAATATAAGGCAACAAGAGCAACTTCTCTAAATGTCAATAATCTGGCACTCAAATCAAACACGATTATATTTGCAATAGTAGCTGTAAGATATTTACAAACTTTACATGAAAAAGTTGATGTCAAAGATCAAAGATAACCCTTCTATTTGCAATCTTTAGAACTAATGTTAAATGAATGACATTTACTCAATGTTTGTACACATTTTTTCTATTTGAATGCAACCAAAAAAATTACATACTTTTTATTTTGTATGTTTTAAGATAGTTTGTGCATGCACAAACTGAACTGTCTGTACTTTGTTTGTTCTATTGGGGTTTTCTAAAAACACAATTCAGTATTTATACTTATTTCAAAAATAAAAAGACGAAGTGGTATGTCATCATTCAGTCAATTCAAATCTGTATTCTTTTATGTTCATAACACTTCACAACATATTTCAAGCCATTCAGTTTAGGGTGAATCTATTTATCTATCATCCAAAAACCACAAATTGAACAAATGTTTGGAAAACCAAGGGCCATAACCCTGGAAAAGTAAAATGGATAATGATAATCTAACTTAACCTGAATTTCCTTGTGAGATTAACATTTGAATTTCATAGAAATTCCTTGGTTTAGAAGTTTGCTACCGGTACTGTAAATCCTAATAACATTATAGTCATATCAGTAATAATAGATCAGAGTAAGGGGATCTATATTTATCATCCTTAAACAACTAGGAGCAGAAGGAGGATCAAGAGGATCAACTCTTGAATAGCACTATTGAAATCAACAAAAGAATCAAACTCAACTTATTTTATTTCCATAAAAATTAATAAATGATTGGGTTTGCTCAATTTATTGTTCAATCTTTTTAAAAATGAAGGGCTTAAACTCTGAACGGTAAAAGTTAAGTGGATGAAAATCAGAATCTTCCTTAAGTTATTGGTGTACATTTCAACAAAAATTCAATCATTTTTGTCTGACAATTAATTTTATATCATCCACACCAATGGACAGACATGCCCATCAAAATGCATCCATTTAGGAGGGAGTAAATACATACAACTTATAATGTATAATCATACATATAACTACATCCTTACCAGTTGTCTTTATTTCAGACCCAGCATTCTGTAAAGAAGCATTGTCTGACACAGGAGACACAATAAATTTATCTTTTATTATACCATCCTCTTCATAATCAGGACCCCATTCAGAATCACTAGTCCCCGTTGTAGTTGTTGTAGTATTACTGAAATGACGTTTGTGAGTACGGTGAAATGTTAGGCTATTTCCTAAGTAATAAGATTTGTCTGTGCAAGGACTGTAATCGTCTGTAAAATCTTCTGTGGAACCCTGGGAAGAACTATAACCAGGATGAAGTGCAGGAACCCCTAAATATTCTCTGTACTCTTCACTAGTTTGACGATCAAGAATCGAACTTTTGCGCTTAAAGTTTTCCAAAAAATCATCAATTTGCTTTTCAATTTTTGCTACTTGATTTCCAGGTATTCCTGGAAGTTTAGATGATGTTATTCGAGGTTCTGCCATACTGAAATGTTACTATTATCCAATTATAATAGATGCATCCTTATATTGCATGAATTCTAATTTGGTTGCATAACAGAGTCAAAATAGATCAATATTTTTTTACATCCAACATGATCTTTCAGATTAAACAGTTCTTTTTGAAAATCCTGTTTGAGGATTGTCACATGGCTGTGACTCATTGTGCACACCTGTTTACATGGCAATAATTGTTTTAATCCATACATAAAAATTTGTTGTCATGTCAATTCTTTTATATTGACAATCATGAATTACTATATAAATCTTTTTTTTTTCTATCTTTAGATATATAACTTGGTAAAAGCCAAAACTAATAACAAAACTTCCTGATAACAGTTTTCTATGCTAATTTGATCATATCTAACCTTTAATTGAGTTATCTCCCCTCGTTAAATCAATAATTACGGACAGTATTAATTTTCCTCACTTGATTTCACTGCAAGTGTCAAATATAATTTCTGCTATTATCCTAAGCTAATGATGTGATATAATAATCAGACAAGTCCAAGGTTTCATAAACAAAATCCTGTAAAGTTGTGAAAATTACATCAACAAGATAAATAGCCATTTCCAGTAAATCTACAAGTAAAGATTCTCCCAAAAACCAAATATCAAATATTGATAAGAAATAAAACACATCCACTTCCATAACAAAATAAAAGGCTATTGTTTCATACAACGGAATGCTAACACCAAAAATCAATCCAAACCTATTTCTATGATTCAGTAAACAGACTTAATTTCTAAATTTGCACAAAGTATCTACTATCTGCATCATAGCTGCATGTAGGATAAAACGAAAAACGTAACTGTTGAATCAATATCTGGCGAATTACAAAATCCATTTCATAGCAGTACTGTCCGACAATTGTAATTATTCAGTTTTATCATTAATGAAAAATGACAGAATATATCTCTGGTTATTGATTTGATCAAAATTCCCCAAAAAATAATAAATCTCCGCTAGTCCCGATGAAAGAATTGGCTGACACGGCCATGTTTTATGAAGTCATGAAAACATGTTGCAGAGACACAAGGTTAAACTTAAACCTGTCCAATCAATGAATTTGTTTAAATCAATAACAACATATTTGATGGGTTTTCTAGTAAAATTTATACAGGTAGCGAAAAATAAACACATTAATTATTTATTTTAAATAAATAACTATTGCTAATGGGGTTGTCATCATTTGCAGGATGTGCAAATACGAGAGTTACGTATTCATTTTTAAAAAAAATAATTCTAAAAAAAACTTCATGAAAATAAAAAGAGCAATTTTTGCAAGATACAATATGATAGCATAATTTTAAAGAATGGTGCATGAATTTACAGCTTTAAATAATGTTTTAATGTATGAATTATCTACTTCTCCAATGGAATAAATAGTTAAAATCTCAATTTAATTGATATATGTGTTAATTTCAATCTTACTCTGAAATTGAATATTCTTATTAACAGACCTTTGGTATAATTCCAGAAATTATGTTTTAAATTAATAATTGTTATATTGCTTATTGTGGCTGCTATAATCAAAGCCATAATTATTCCACATATCTATAACTTATAAATAAATATCAATTTCAAAGTCGATAATTGCCAAACACAAGCAGATGAATAAGATAGTGGATAACTATATATAATGGACCATTTTACATAATAGTACTTTGCATAATATCTACATAAATATGGTAAACTGACCATTTAAAGTTTACTTATTATAAATAGATTAATTATTCATTGCTTAGATTATCTCAAGGGTCTATTTATCTGATTTTCTTTCAAAATTTTATTTTTTTATCATTAGATTTCTTGGTTTCCAGAAACAAAAGATGAAAATGTAATTCTAATTTTGATAATCAAATAGGGGTAATATATTTAAGAAATAATTCATGGCAGCCGTAGATTTGTTTTCAATTAACCATGGGTTGGGCATTTATATTCGATTATTTTACCCTGAGCGTTAGCGAGGGGTAAAATACGAATATAAATGCCAAACCCATGGTTAAATGAAAACATATCTACCCCTGCCATGAATTATTTCGATTCTAATAAGACAAATTCGGTAATTTTGTTAACCGTGATTGAAAGCCCTATACATACGATACTGTTTTGGCTGTTCCGTTTTACCCAATTTTGATAATATTAGTAATATTATATAATTCAATGATTATTTTTTTTAATCGCATTTTTCACTTAAAAATTTTCTTCCAATGTAGTTTTATTCGTTCTGAGGCGTACACGAAGCTTTAAAACGCCCGGTATTTACATTTGATTTTTTGTTTACGGAAACATATTTGTGACGTCACCTTGTTTCGTTGCCATGTCAAGACATAACATCATTTCGCGGAATTTTTGTTTTATGAAATTTTACCATGAAAAATAAATTGAAATGGACTGATTTGTTTATTTTGCTGTAGAATAGAGATAAATATATTGTATCTGAAGCTTGGCCTTCGTAAACTGGGGATTTTGATGTCGAAAATTGAGAATATCTGGCAGTATAAATAAGTTGGTCATAACGCGGAACAGCCGTTTATGTGTATTACTGTGTTTGCGCTAAAGGTAGATATATTATGATTATACTGGTTGACGATAATAGGTCGTCATATTAGAATTGATTACAGACCACCATGTGTAGTTGGCTTTTTTGTTGGCCACTTATTCCTAAAGTAAGCTTAGACACTTCCTATTGACAGATAATTGTTATATTTGTTTATTAGATAGACTATCTATATCATTTGGAAATATAGATTTTACCACAGAAACCCAATTGATTAAGAAATTCATTCACTAAAGATCGTAAAAAATTTGAACATTTAAAATGTGAAAATATAACTATTGAGAATGGATCAATATTATAATCAATGGGGTAAAGCAGTAGAATATGTTTCTCTAATGTTTAAGCAAAATGCCAAGTACAATGTGCCAAAAAATCAAGATGCTTGAAGACTTATAAAGACAAATTTCAAAAACATAAATACTCATGCACATATCTGTCGGACAGACTAACATTTTTTTTTCTGAATAACTGAAGGTTTTTTTTATAGATTTATGACACTTTTTGATTTTCAAAATGAGAGGAGTAAAATATTATGGTATTTATCATCCCTTCTCGTTTATGTATATACCCATCAACATTATGGTCCAATTTTGTTTCCTCATATACTTCAACTCCCTTCTTCTTCCCTTCAATCCCCCTTAAATAAAATGCTAGGTTAAAAAGTTATCTATCTGTAAGTATTAGAATCAGAATGAAACATTTTTTTTTACAAAATTGATTTTAAAATGTAACTCTTGATAGACAGATAAAAAACCTACTACATGTATTCAAATCATATCTAAAATCAACTACTGTGACACAGTTCAAGTGAATAAACATAAATTTGAGAAATGTTTACCTCTGGATTGAAATCTTATATAACATGCAACACAACTTACATGTTAAATTTACCAAAAAGGTTTCTTCTTTGTATATATATATACAATGGCAAGTGATAATTTCAATCCTTTTTTCATTAAATATGTATGTATTACTTTTCCATATGGTTTTTTAACTAATAAAATACATGTCAATAAACATACTTAATATGGTGTTTTGTTATTCTAGAAGACATATTTTATCATTTCAAGGGTACATGTATTTTTTGACAACACCTTTATCTTTACTGATATCAGAAAAAAACTGAAATTTGAAATAATACAAGTACATAAAAATGTATTGTCCAGATTGTTTACCCTTAGGTAGAGATTAATATGGTCATATGCAAATAAAGTATGTACCTAGAGCTAAATATATATCTTATTAAACAGAAATTGTTAAAATGTAGATTTTTTTTTTGTACATAAAAAAATTATGCAGTTTATCTCTGCAATATTACCTGTAAGTGGTTGATTTTAGTTTACAGTATCACTGGGTTTTTTTGTCCATTAAAAATTTAGCTGTTGACAACATATTTTTTTACATAAAAAGAGATCTGAGGTAAACAAGTTGATGATATCTTAACCCTAAAGGCTATGATACCATCAGAAAAGTCATCAAGAGGGCAACACATTGTCCTAAACAATACTAGTGTCTATACCATATGTCAAACCTTAAATCATCCTGATCTTTGACAACCTTTGAATAAATTAAAGACTACCACAGATGTGCAACTCTATCTACAATGGTTGGTTTGAAGCCCATATGAGAAAGGTGGAGGGTTGTACATAAGGTCAGTTCCCCTGTCACGTAAAAAAAAAACTAGCTGCGGAAACCAAAAAAACAAATCAACAGAGATGAGCCATCAACAATAAATGTATATCTTTAAAGGACTAAAACATATCATACATGTTAACCTGTAATAAAATTTTGATTTTTGTTTCATTAGCAGAGGCGGATCCAGCCATTTTTAAAAGGGGGGTTCCCAACCCAGGAAAAAGGGGGGTTTCCAACCATATGTCCTCATTCAAAAGCATTGATTGTCAAAAAAAGGGGGGGTTCCAACCCCCGGAACCCCCCTGGATACGCCACTGATTAGGTTGCTTTTTATTGACATACATTTCATTTTATTAATGATAATCATTGATGAAGTTAAAACAACCTTGAGAAATTTTTGTAATTTTTTCAACTTTCCACTTTTGCCCTTTCTTTCTCAGATCCCACTTTTTTTACTCAATATTTCCCACATCTCCACTTTTTTTACCCAAAACATCCCAACTTTTTTTACCCTCGTAATGCCACGTCCCAAAAGCGTGTCATCCCCTCACTGAAGATTTTACATTTTTTTCTTTTTTTTTTTGTTATCTAGGTGTTCTGAAAGAGTGACACAAACAATTTTCACAATACAATTTTCTTCAATTAGGTCCGAGTACACAGTTATCGTCCTTTGATTTTCGTTGTCCACAAATATAGTCCCTAGTGTGGACAGTGTGTTACTTGCCAATTTTTTTGATACCCCTTCCAAATTTATTTCTCCATGTTTTATGCCTCAAATAGCAAGTAGGGGGATGAAATTACACTGTAAAAAAATTTGGGTCATGAATTTTAAAGTAAAGTAGTGATTTGGTCCAGCTGAAAAAGGTTAAAAATAAGCACTTCGGAAGCTGTCAAAAGATTTCAAGACCCCCTTAACATAAAATTGTCCATATTTTGAGTTAGAGCCGATGAAGTTTTCTATAATTTTGATATAATTTGTCCCAAAAGTAGTACAACACACTGTAAAAATATTATTGAGAAAGCGCAGGTGGGATTTTTTTAATTTTCATTTATTGTCTAAAAGAAATGCACTACGAAATAACTGTGTACTCGGACCTAAGAGGTGAAATCAGGAAATATAGAATCTGTACTTTGGCAACTTCCCTGAATGATTTAATGGTGTCAAGTTGTCAAATAGCATGAAACTAAAGGATTTAAACTTTTATTTGATAGAATTTCTGCAAAAATGACAAATTTTGGCATTATATGGTCAAAATAAGCATTTCATAGCTTTTTCAATTTTGATGCATATTAGTGGCATTCTGACTTTCTATCTGACAGGTTTTCATGTGTCAATATTTGTGTTTCTATGCTTTAATCCAGTTGTATTACTCATTTGTGAACTCTGAATGTACAGAAAAGAAGATTATCTCAGACAATATGTGCAAAATGTGTTGTATAAATTACCCTCGTCTAACGCCCTGTTTGGATCAAGTTAAATGTGAGGAGTTTGGTACATAAAAGTGGAAGTCCATAATAAAGACCTCACTAAATTTGTATAAAAAGCACTTAACAATGTCTTTTGTAACTGTTTCATTTCACATAATATCTTTCTTTTCTTCTGTAGGATAGCAAGTGGTTCAAATATAAGCCTGTTGAGACTAAAATTGCCTGCAAGTTTTTCACTAAAAAGTGAAAAATCTTTGTATCAGACCGTACCGTCTGCAAAAAAAGTTGAATGCAAGAGTCTTTTTGTGCTCAGATTTATTGTATCATGTCACCTGAGTATAGAAATGATAGAAAAGACACAAATTTTTATTTCCTATAGCTTCAATATGCATTTTTAAATGTAAATATGTGCTACGGCCTAAATTGACCCTAAATTATTTTCAGTCTTACTTGGCCTAAGACCCTTTTAAACTAATCTGATATGTTATTTGTAAGTTTTCTTTCCATTTAAAGTACATTAAATACATATGTAAGGATTATTTATAACCAAAAAGCTTCACCAATTTAAAATTGCTGGAAAATATTACATCTTCATGTAAGGCCCACCTTCATTGGAAAACCTCCATTTTTAGGCACAGGCTCATATAAATTTGACTTTTGAATAATTATGCTAAGTCTGATATATCAAATGAGTACTCTATTGCTTTTAATACATGATATATTATATATTAAGGCATTTTAAAAGTATTTTTTTGCAATATTTTAATTTTAAAAGCCCCAAATGTTGATAGTTGAAATTTTTCAATTTTAACGTCAAAATTTAACACGCAAAGTTGAATATAGAATTTATCATACTGTCTATAATATATATCTTATTGCCATGAAACTTTGTAAGCAGTCTCATAATTTATTAAGCTTTGGTCATACCAAGTTTTATTAAGATTGGTCAATTTTTTCTATCCTATTAGGTCCGAGTACACAGTTATCGTCCTTTGATTTTCGTTGTCCACAAATATAGTCCCTAGTGTGGACAGTGTGTTACTTGCCAATTTTTTTGATACCCCTTCCAAATTTATTTCTCCATGTTTTATGCCTCAAATAGCAAGTAGGGGGATGAAATTACACTGTAAAAAAATTTGGGTCATGAATTTTAAAGTAAAGTAGTGATTTGGTCCAACTGAAAAAGGTTAAAAATAAGCACTTCGGAAGCTGTCAAAAGATTTCAAGACCCCCTTAACATAAAATTGTCCATATTTTGAGTTAGAGCCGATGAAGTTTTCTATAATTTTGATATAATTTGTCCCAAAAGTAGTACAACACACTGTAAAAATATTATTGAGAAAGCGCAGGTGGGATTTTTTTAATTTTCATTTATTGTCTAAAAGAAATGCACTACGAAATAACTGTGTACTCGGACCAATTGGGTTTCCATGAAATTTCAGAGTTCATTTTTAAGAGCTTTCTTAAGAACACTTTAGCTATTATTTTTCATCCACAAATATATGCAGCTTCAATTAAAACCATAACAAAAAGTTTCAAAACAGTTGCTAAACTTTCAACTGAAGGTACAACCATTTGTCTTCAAAAAATTTTGAAATACATATCTTAACTGAATAGAAATCATTTGACAATATTAGAGCTGTTATTACAATTTCAGTTTGATGTAATAACCGAAAAAATGGGAAGGTTCAATTATCTCCCCTTCTATATGTAAGAACAAGGAACTACTTTGAAACAGGTGTATCTTAAGGTGTTTGATTTTGTTTGAACAAAGATAGTTAAACTTTGAACTGAAAGACAGGGGAAAAAATATGTAGCAGATGTCCATTATGTGCATGGAAAAGGGAATTTTCTATATTGATATTTATACTTTTACATTTTGTGTAAATCTAAATTTGTTTCTGTATATTCTTCGATTCAAGTATAGATATTCCAAAATAAATTTTATTTGGGTTAATGAGAACATTTGAAATTTGTTAATGTCCTTAACAGTCAAACATCAACAACCTTTTTTTTCATTAATTTGCTTCATATATGTACATCATGTAACTGATTTATTTGTCCAAATTCTTAAGTCATTATGGTTTTTAAATCTGACATTATATGTCAAATTAAACAAAAAATTAAAGGTTCATATTTTAGCCAGATATCTAACTTGAATTGTGATATTTCATTGTGAGAAATCAAATCAAATTTGAAGTTAGATGTTTATATATCGCCAAATGTATAATACAAAGGTAAATGTACAATGTATAAATAATAAACAACTACCTCAGTTGTGTTGTATTTGTCTTGTATGAGGAGGATATAGAGAGTAAGAGATACAATGCTGCTCGGGTGAGACAATAAAATATTTGGTATTTGCAGCTTCACTGCCAAGCACACAGCGCTTAGTAGTAACAGCACAGACATGGCAGCTTGAAGTCAGAAAAATGGGTCTAGATTGGGTGACATATCATCCTGCTGACTGTCAGCTAGCACTCAGCATGTTTGATTCATAAATGATGATATTAATAGTAATTCTTGTCCTTAATATGATGCTGGAAACTGAACATTCATAAATTTCATCAATTAATTAATGAGCTACTCTAATTACTGATTGGGAGGAGTGGTATTCTTGATGACTAAACTACCTTCATTTCTGGTAAGTGTCAATATTTCATCAATTGTGTTTAGAAACTCACCTGCTTAAAATTAGTTTAGAATTAATCTTATAGATCATAATTTTTTGGGGTGTGTTTGGTTTTTCTCTCGAAAATTCATCTTCGAAATCCCAGATGCCACTTCCGGTTGCATATGTCACGGTTGAAAAATAATTCACCTGAATGACCGACTACCTGTCATTACAGGTAAAATCAACTAAATAGATATTTTTAAGGTAATTCTTTGTATGTAATATCTATAAAATGAAAGAAAATGAAATATTATCATTATTAAAATCGTAAATTATGTCATTATAGTTGTATTACCTATAATTTCCATTTCATATACCTGTCATCACCAAAGGTCAAAGTTGAAGTTGCATTATCACCGATAGACGGCACTGCAATGTTGTTAAGGCCGCCATATTTGATGTTTTGATGCCTTCGAAAAATTGTAACCTGTAAATCTACGGTTGTTTAAATTAAAACAATGTCAGAAACGGCAGTTGAAGAACCACCAGTATCCACAACAAGCAATACATATATAATTCGTCCTAATTTTCAAAATAAGTAAGTGTTCACAGCTTATGAAATAAATGAAAACGTGCACTGGTGTAGATGGTGGACATTCTAATGGCAGGGGAGATAATTTCCCCATCATGGATTGAATTTAACAAGTTTCATTGGTAAACCATGCAAAATTCTATGGTTCAGATGATCACAAAACTGACATATATGAAGAACAGGCTTATGGAAGATTTACCCCTTTTTATTTTCTTATCAGCACTGTTCAATACATCATATACATTCTATAAGTATGTATATATCATTATTGTATGTACTGGTAAATTCCTACGATATCAGAAGAACCCCTCGAGAGCTGCGAGGGTACAGTAGAATCCATGTACACTTCCTCCTATCTGGATTAATGGAGATGTGTCTCTAACGTATTTACAAAGTTCAATATTTACAAGGACAATCCCCACCCCAACACCAGGGAGTGTTAGGACACTGGGCAGAGTCTGTTATTATATAGGCACTGGCTACGGTTACATGGAAATGTAACAATAATAAATATATTATTGTTACATTGGAGACTAAATGCCGGAATGCATGGTTGGGTAAGGACCTGATTAATTACGAATGTAACCATAATTATTGAGGCTACGGTTACATTGCGTTATTGTTACATAAAAACAGCAATGTACGATGGGACTAGTAATATGTACTAAATAATAAAAGTTGAAGACATTTATTTTATATTTACAATACATACAATTATTACATACAATTTCTTTATTTTTTTATTTCGTACAATGACATTTTCTACATATCCAGTAAGTGGTTTTTGGAGCATGTTTAAGTCCGACACATAAGTAGTAGGTGTGCAGTTAAATATTTAGAAGTGAACACTTTTCTCAGCCCGAGTTCTCAACAACAAACCATTGAACTATATTTTTCGCCTTTGGCACTACTAATCTGAAGTAGTATCTTTAAGAACATCAAAACCATTAATACGTAAAACTATTTAAACACCATTTGTTGAATAATAGTATTTATTATTTATCATTATTACAAGTATTATTTAGTACATATGAAAGAATTAAGCATCAAAACTATAGAAGATTTAAGCTTTATAAATCTAGCGTACATCACTGTTTTTCATGTAACAATAACGCAATGTAACCGTAGCCTCAATAATTATTGTTACGTTCGTAATTAATCAGGTCCTTACCCAACTATGCATTCCGGCATTTAGTCTCCAATGTAACAATAATATATTTATTATAGTTACATTTCCATGTAACTGTAGCCAGTGCCTATTATATAAGACTATATATCCTGGTGTCTTTCAGATATCTGAACATGTGATATTTTTAACAAAGATTATCTTTGAAAGATATACAGAATTTTTGAAAAATAAACAAAAGACTTTAAAGCTCAAATTAATGTTTACACTAAATTCTCATTTGGGACTAATAGATTTACTGTTTTTAGACCCAGATTATCATTTGACCCATGGAACAATAAAAATATCCATTTAACAAATATTTCCATCATCACAATTAATCTACTTGATTCCTTATCTCATGTTAAAATAAGATATTATCACAAAATAGAGCAGGTCACAAAAAACACATTTGATGTAACATTTCCTTTCTAAATACACATAAAAAACTGAAACAATTCATGGCCTTGCCCAACACATGATTTATAAAATTGGGGCAAAATGACCAGGATTTGTGACAACTGGAAATCCAGTGTTTAGGAAACATATATGAAGTAAAGAAACTTTATTATCCACACAGTTGGGAAAAATTTGAAATACTTAATCTTGGCTTGTTATAAATATGCCACATATTATATATACATGTAGTGTCCTAGCTAGCCCAAAATAGAGGAGCTCAGCTCTTATCTGCCCTCTGTGTGGTCTCCTCTGCATATTGCCCCTTTCTGTGCACCCCTCTGCCTTTATACTCCTGTTCTCTGTTTTTTTCTTTCTGAAGGAAAATAAATACTTTTTAATGCAAACTAATCATTTTAAGTATTAGAAAAAGCTTTTTACAAGCCCTTGAATACCATGGATCTAGCAAATATTTGTTAATTATTTCAATTTTTCATTTATAGACATGATCAAGTTTGTCCTTTTTCAGACAAACAACTGTGCTAAATGCTAATATGCCTTTCATCATTAAATTGTGCCCTGCTGCTCTAAAATCCTTGCTGTAATACTGTATCATATATATATATACATTTATATTACAGATTTAGACCAACTAAGACCAATTAAAAAACTATGACATATTAATATATTTATTTTACAGATTTAGACCAATAATAGTAAAAGAAACAATTCATACAGTATTGAATGATAGACTGTCTGGTAAAGTTTATGATGTAGATGAAACAACAGACTTGTGTAGAGTTATATCAGATGAAATTAAAACAAAATTAAAAGGTATTAAGATTCAGCTGTAATTAAGATCACACACAATACAAATGAACCCTTTCATCCCCAACGATGCCTTGAAGCATCGCCTGGTATCGTAGAATTAATTGGGCAATACATGGATTGTGTGGACAATAAAACGTAACGTAAATGCATGTTCAATCTTTTAGTAATACCGATTAGTGCATAGATGTCGTATGAAGCGTAAAAAACGTGTTTAAAATACTGAAGCAGGTGCAAAAAAATATCCTATCTTGTAGTTTAATCCAAGTCTAAATTAAAAACAAATGCTAATGTTTTCATTCTTCCAGGTGTTTCCCTGGTGCACTAAAGTCACATTGAGGATTCTTGGAACTCATTTGCACACTGTTACGATTTTATTTTCACAAATGATAACTTATTACACTATATGTGTGATTAAAACTGACAAACAGAGTATGTCTCTCATAGATCTTTATATTTTCTTCAAATTTTCTAATAAATACTCAACAATTTTTTTATTATCTACTGGCATTGAGTGTTGGAATGTGTATTCACATTTCATTTTATTTATAACTCTGACCTTATATCGTCCAATTAAAACTCGGTTGTTCCCTTCTTAATACATGTGATATATCATGTTATTAAAAAATTAAAAAATGTCGTCTGTAAACAAAGAACAAAATTGAAATGTCCGATTCCTCAGACGAGGAATTCTTAGGTTTTAAAGCCAATGATATTCAACAGGCTGTTCAACGGTACGAACAAATATTACTAGATCAAGGAATTGGGGATGATTTTGAATTCAATACTTCAGGAAACGAATCTGAGGGCTCAGAAACAGAACCGACCATTCCTATTTATAATGTCAATGACCAAGTAGTCCCAGATATAGACAATGTTGCAAACACCTGGCATAACAATTTCAATATTCATGAAAGGGGTTTACCTCATTTATTCGAACCTAGAGGTCCAGATGAAAGTGCAACAGGCCCAGCTACCATTTTAGCTGCTGATAAGGGTCCAATAGATTTCTTCAAACTTTTCTGGAATGACATAATTTTTGAACAGATAATAAATGAAACTGAAAGATATACCAACCAACAAATTGATGAAAACCCAGACAGTAATAAATATCCTTGGTCAAAACCAAGTCTGCCAGAAATATAAGCTTTTATTGGTCTTTGCTGTTTGATGGGAATTGATGTCAAACCAGAAATCAAACTTTACTGGTCAACTGACCCCTTCATGGAATCTCCAATATTCCGTAAAAAACAATGTCCAGGAATAGGTTTATGCAAATCATGAGGTACCTTCATTTCAGTGACAACCAGGTCATCCGTCATATGATGTACTATATAAAATAAGAAACATCTTGAATATGTTTAATACATCATCAATGAAAAGAGAATTTGTCCCTACACGCCAGGTCTCAATAGACGAATGTATGATCCCCTTCAAAGGAAGGGTCAAATTCAAGCAGTATATGCCAGCCAAACCAACTAAATGGGGTATAAAGATATGGGCATTGGCAGATTCCAATACAGGATACATCTGTTATACAGATGTTTATACAGGGAAAACTGATAGACCACAAGGCCAGTTGGGTTCACATGTATAGAGGGGGCTGATATTGTTGGGCAGGGATACCATGTGTACATGTATGTTGACAATTTCCTTTCTTCACCAAAACTCTTCCAAGACCTATTTGATAATTATAACACTGCTGCATGTGGAACAGTCCGCAAAAACAGAAGCGGTCTACCAGCTGATTTTTTGTTAAAACACCCTGTTGGTATCGATAACAGGGGGAAATGAAATTCTTTCAGAGGGACTCAATCTCAGGTGTCTTATGGAAAGACAAAAAAAATTGTAACAGCAATTTCAACAATTCACAACCATTCTAGCTCTGAAGTTCAACGTTTGGTTTCAAATAAATGGACAATTTGATAAAGCAGATATACCATATCCAAAAATTATACCAATTTTAAAGTCTTTGGTTTGACCTAACGGGGTTCGAACCCACGACTTCCCGCATTAGAGGCTACCACGAGACCACTGAGTTGGTTCCGTTCTTATACAAGTAAACACGATAACTAACATATTTTAACAATCAAACAGACCTAGAAAAATCCAATTGCACGTGTTCTCTATCTATTTATATCTATATTTATGTTTAAGTCAGGATATATGACCATCGACAATCTTCGGAGGTCACCTCATAATACATTGGTTATTTTGATGGCGTCCTCTAGACTAAAATACACATGAAATGCTGATACATATTATCAAATCCATGAATCGTAAATTGTTTATTTTAGGCTTTTTATAATTTGGATATACGTTTTAGTACCGGTATGTTATAAATCAAACATGAATTTGACAGCTAATGCCCCTTTAAGCAAATACATAACATAAGACATTATTCAAATTATTATGTACAGGTGGCTGTAAACTGAAACATCATTTAAATTTTGACATATACTGTATCAATGCAACAAGCTACTGTTGATAGAAGTGTTTTTATTGTAATGCACAAAAATGAATTTACATTCAAATCTATTCACACTGGCTTAATCTTCACAAGGAACACTCAGCAACAATAAAAAACATTGGAATCCAAAATATACTTTTACATTGGAAGCTTTTTGGCCATAAAATACCCAAGAAGAATGTCCAGAAGGGTCAAAGGTCAGATTTACATGAGGGAGCTGGTGTCATTTTTGGAAAAATTACAAATTAAATGGACTCCACCTAGGAAAAAAAGCTACTGCTCAAGTAAAATATTTAATATTTAAGGGCCATCCCATGGTAAAAACTAAAATCAGTATGAATTCAAGCCCCCATGATTAATTTCTCAAAGAGACTCGTGAGTTGTTTATCAATGGCCTATTCTTATACAAGTAAACACGATAATTAACATATTTTAACAATCAAACAGACCTAGAAAAATCCAATTGCACGTGTTCTCTATCTATTTATATCTATATTTATGTTTAAGTCAGGATATATGACCGTCGACATTCTTCGGAGGTCACCTCATAATACATTGGTTATTTTGATGGCGTCCTCTAGACTAAATCTATTCACACTGGCTTAATCTTCACAAGGAACACTCAGCAACAATAAAAAACATTGGAATCCAAAATATACTTATACATTGGAAGCTTTTTGGCCATAAAATACCCAAGAAGAATGTCCGGAAGGGTCAAAGGTCAGATTTGCATGAGAGAGCTGGTGTCATTTTTGGAAAAATTACAAAATAAATGGACTCCACCTAGGAAAAAAAGCTACTGCTCAAGTAAAATATTTAATATTTAAGGGCCATCCCATGGTAAAAACTAAAATCAGTATGAATTCAAGCCCCCATGATTAATTTCTCAAAGAGACTTGTGAGTTGTTTATCAATGGCCTATTCATATTTTCAACATCTTTTTTCAGAACAGTGTATGAAGTGACTTGATTAAAGTGAATGAAATGATGTTTTCCAAATATTAGACTTTTGTTTTACATTTACAGATTTAGGTTATGACAGATATAAATTTGTAGTTCAAGTAGTAATTGGTGAACAAAAAGGAGAAGGTGTCAAGTAAGTATTACCTCCCTTTACCCAATTTGTGTTTAATTAACCACAACCAAGCCCTGTGTCTCCCCTCCAAATGGAACAAAACTTGAGAAATCCCTGATAAAATCTATTATCTGACCTATACACTTCTAGATATATCATTGGTTTAAAAGCGAACTTATAGTAACCCTGTATATTTGAAATTAGGTCAGTTTGGAATGGTATTCCAAAATGATATTTCCATATTCCTCAAAGTAAAATCAGTGTTCTCCCCAGAAATTTTGGATAGCATCACATTTGGCGTAAAAAAATAAACTGTTTTTTTTTCAATGTTATTTGTTGCGTTGTGGCGATGCTCTAACAGTTGTTTCAGTTTATGTTTTCTATATTCATTTATAGTAACAGTATTATTTTTTTCTTCTTGGACCAAACAAAAATATATGTGTGGTTCCAGTTACCCTATCTACCCAACTAAATGAATGAATGAATGGTTTATTTTAGTGCAACCTGTATATATATACAATACTAAATATCAAGTAAAAAAAAGAACTGTTTTTTTATATAAAAAGAGAAGAGAAAGTTCAACATATAGCAATAAAATTTCAATCAACAACTTTTTTCTTTATCATGTCTATGAAATTCATTGTTTCATGGTTCTCAATGAATTAATCAACCAGTTGTTGCTTTATATCAAAATGATATTTTTAACAAAGTTAAGCTACTTTAATCAGTATATTTAAACAATGCATTTTCAAAAAGAAAACATTGAGCAAGGAGATCTAACAAATAGTCTGCTAATGCGTAGTTTTCTCTTTTGGGATTATTTTTTCTGTCCACTGTGCCATTTGTGCATCTGTAGTTATTATCGTAAAAAGATGATTTTTATCATATCTGGTCCGGTTCCGATCCGTAGTTTACACAATTATTTCAATGGCAGCCGATGAAAAATTAACGAAAATAAACAATGTTTGACAAGAGATAGGGAATGAATATGACACTTTTAATGCATTAAATGGATGAAACATTAACTAAAGCAAAGTATGATCACTTTCTAAAAAAGTATCAAACTTATTAAGCTCAAAATAAAAATGTTAACTATACGTTCTCGATTAACAAGTAGTACCGGATGGGAAAGAAAGTAATTTTTTGAAAGTTGTAAAAATATACGACCAAACCTCTTTTCTAAAAAGATAAATCGTTTGTATCTTTGAATTTCCATTATGCAAACGTAAATTTCGAAATTGATTTTCAGATTACATTTTCTCATTTTCAAAATTTGCGATCGGACCATGTGGTATATCATGTGATAAGTCATGTCACAAGTGTCAGCTTGGGGTATTCGTATCCAAACAGTTATCACCCAAAGGGCAATTAACACCTATTTAATCACTCTAAATTGCCTCTATTGTCCGACTTGAAGGGTTACAATAAAAGGTGATATAGCTTTATGATCACAAGCGGTAATTAGATGAAAGTTCAAAATTTTGTAGATGGTTTTGCGATATAGAGACAAGAACAATAGCATCCTCAAAATAATTATAGCGTTGCGGAAATATATTATAGCATCACGGGAAAAAAACATAGCGTCACTGTGCCGCGACGTTAAAACGCCCTGGGGAGAACACTGGTAAAATGCTAGATATGAGCAGTATTTTTTTTTTTTTTTTTACAAATTAAAATAAAGAGTACAGCTACATTGTAGCTGTTCACAGTATTATTGCAAACCAGCAATTGTCTCAGGTAAAGAATATCTGCATTATATCCAGACAGCTGAATATCCGCATTATCCAGACAGCTGCTTGTTTCCAGGTAAAACAAAGAATGAACCATCAATCTGATGAGATCTTGTTAATAATTTTGGAAACATCAAAATGTATAAATATGTTGAAGCGCACACAATTACTGTTTATATGAATTATGATATACATCAGTTGAATAACACTAGCTGTAAATGTATGCAATAACAGTTTTTGTCCAAATTCAACTTTTTGTCTAGATAACACAAAAAAGGATTTGGAACACACTAGAATTAGAGCAAAGCAATAACAATGAAACATTTTTAATTAAACACCCATTTATTTTACAAAAGAGAGTATTATAAAGATTAGTAGGTATACATGCACAATCTTGACAAAATCATTATATGATATCAAAAACATATTTCTTTATTTTTAGAATGGGATGTAGATGTTTCTGGGATTCTGATACTGATAACTATGCACAAGATATATTTATGAATGTAAGTAACTTATTATAATATTTATGAATGTAAGTAACTTATTATAAATTTACAGTGTATCATATAAAACTGCAGTGTATCAATGCCAATGAAGAAATTTATCCTTCAATGTTTGACTGATCTGATGTAACTAAGGACGATGAAGTAAATGTTAGTTCACTAAATGTATCAAGTCTTTGATAGGGAATTAGAATTGACATGACTTGTCACATTTGAATATTACTCTAAATTGCAAGTGGTAGTGGTAGGCATCATAAACATAGTTAAACTGTGAGAAACAGATTTAAGGAAATGACCATTGGTCAGATTTATTTTAATTAAAACAAATCAAAAATAAATATTACAAGGAATCAATGAAAACACTCTTCCAAATGTATTTCTTCATGTTTTATGACTCAAATAGCAAGTAGGGGGATGAAATTACACTGTAAAAAAATTTGGGTCATGAATTTTAAAGTATAAAGTAGTGATTTGGTCCAGCTGAAAAAGGTTAAAAATTAGCACTTTGGGAGCTGTCAAAAGATTTCAATACCCCCTTAACATAAAATTGTCCATATTTTGAGTTAGAGCCGATGAAGTTTTCTATAATTTTGATATAATTTGTCCCAATAGTAGTACAACACACTGTAAAAATATTATTGAGAAAGTGCAGGTGGGATTTTTTTTATTTTCATTTATTGTCTAAAAGAAATGCACTACGAAATAACTGTGTACTCGGACCTTATGTTCCATATCTCCAGAAGGACAACATTTTAAGAATATAAAAGAATTGAAAGGGAGATTACTCTGGTAGCTTTGTAAGATTGTTATAAAAAGTCATGGGAATAGCTACAAGTAAATGGATTTTAAACTTTGCACGAAGGCACTGAACATTGTCAATATGTATTTTTATCTTGTGGTTGCTTGCTCACTCAGGGTCAATCAAAACGCTTGAAGGTAGGTATTTGCTGCTTCTCCTGTAACTTTTGATGTCATCATTTAGGATTAAGAGCAAAAACTGGTTGGCTAGTAGTTATCTGTCTGGGTAGAGTGACATATCTTTCTACACACTGTTACCTTGTGAACTAAAAAATGTAACATGTTAAAAAAAATCCAGCTTAATATATCTAATACAAATCAGGCTTCATATTCATATGGCATCAACATGTTCTCGTAATGGTATGTATGTAATGTTTGCCACTGAATGTTTAACTATAATCCATCTATCCAGCTTTGATTTAACAGATAAGGTCCTATACATATTGTAACCCCAGAATTGCAATTTAAAAATAAATCTCAAAATTGAAAGGAATTTTTTCTTTAAGAAACAACACATTGTGTAAAATTTTTAATAATACAGCCATCCTGAGTTTTTATCAGTCTTGTTCCAAACTATCAAATTCTATCAGTTAAAATCTCATTACTCTGGAGCAACTAATCTAAAGATTATAAAAATCAGCAGTTATACAATGTATCACAAAAATTGTTTGTTTTTGTCTATTGACTTTCTTTTCTAAATTCAAGGAAAACATGAGGCTGGTATCTCGGAAAGTCTGACTGAATGTATCAAAGATTTATATCTTAAAAAAATTATTTATATAATTCTGTGTGTAGAGGTAAAATGCACAGAAATAGTCACTGTGTGTTAAGCAAGCAAAAATCAATCAATCACAGAAAAAAATCCAACACAATGTTTTTGTCATCAAATTCTTATTCAACCAGAAGTTCAGATGTTTTGTCTGAAATAACAGCAAAGACAAATGGATCTGCTTTTGGAATGATGGGAGGACCAAACAAAATTTTTTGATTTTTACCAACGCTAGAGCAAAATATTTAAAGTCTAGTGTAAAAAAAGAACTGTCATATTAATTGTAATTTGAAACATAATATTGTTTACCCTAATATAGTTTTGTGCTTATACATATATAGATGCCAGTAGACTTTGTACTTTCACAATAGCAATTAGCCAGACTTTTTTTCAATTTGTAATTTGAATTCATTTCTCAACTGATCAATTGGTGAACAAATTTAGCTAATTGCTAGTGAAACCTTGTTAGTATAAGGCAAGTACAGTGTAATAAAAATATTTTTACTATCAATAAGATCAAATTCAAACTGCAACTTTTAAAAAAATTGGGTAATTGTTATTGTGAAGTGATTATGCCTACTGTATAAGCACACAAATATGTTTATAAAAAACAATTGATTTCCTCTGACTATTTATATTCTATGCTAAGCCACAATGGGGCTTAGAGAGAGACCCTTATCTGTCTGTACATATGTAAATAATTATTACAGAGGTTGTTAAGATTTGCATTTAGTCTATTTTTCTGAATTAACAATGTTAGTTTTCTTATCCTTTCTCTTTCCAGGATTCTTTATTCTGTGTGGCAGCAGCTTTTGGATGTTTTTATTATTGACAGTGTATCATTATTATGTTGGGTTCATTATCATTGAAAAACATCTTCGCCAAAGATACAACATATGAATAGTGACTGGGACCACCTGTTAGAGAACTGTTTTGTTATGAGAAAGTTTACATTATAATTTACCTTCTAAGTTAAAAAAAAAAGTTTCATGTACAGTGAAAGATAGAATCTTGGCATTCAAATCTTAAGAGCAATTAAACAAAAAGGGAAAAATTATTAACTTTTTTGATTTTCTAGTTGAATTTTAAAGACATAATGTTCTTTCAAAAAATGAATATGCAAGAATACTATCGGATAAAAAAAATCATTTGATAATATTCAAACTGTGATATAAATTATAATAAATATAAATGTACTTTGTTGATATTAAATGGAAATATTTATTTAAAAATATACTTGTTATACCCCAATCTAAGAGTGAGGGGATTGTTGCAATCACCTAGTCTGTCTGTCCAAGAAATATTTTTGTTACACTTTTCTCAAGTACTTCTCAACAGAATTACTTCATATTTGGTCAGCATGCACTCTTGTTTGGTTTCTCTTTTATAGTTTCATGTAGGCTTTAATGATTTTCCTGTGTTTTTCATATGAATCAGCTTAAACACATACTTACCAACATGAATACCTGTTTGATAACTGTTTGGTTGCTGTCTTTTCTACAATTCTGATACACGTGTTGAAACAACATTGTCAATTTTGACCAAATAGTGGAAGAGTCCCTTTGTACGTCAAATTGTCTTTTTGTTCCACTTTTGTGTCTGCAACTGCTCCTGAACTGCTTGACAAAATTATTTGAAACTTTCACAGATTCTTAATCATATTTCTAATATGAACTTCTTCAAGAGCTTTGAGTACACTACCTTGGTAAAATTTGAATATATTGTATGTCAGCAGATCCACAACTTCGTGATTTGTTTGGGCTATTCCTATCATACTCCCATGTCATATTTCTAGTTTACCTGGCCGAAAGGCCAAGTGAGCTTTTCTCATCACTTGGCGTCTGTCGTCCGTTATCATAGTTAACCTTTACAAAAATCTTCTCCTCTGAAAGTACTGAGCCAAATTTAACCAAACTTGGCCACAATCATTATTGGGGTATCTAGTTTAAAAAATGTGTATGATGACCCCGCCAGTCAACGAAGATGGCAGACATGGCAAAAAATAGAACATAGGGGTAAAATGCAAGTTTTGCCTATTATTTTGAAAACCACTTTAAATAGAAAAAATCTTGACAAGAGCAAAAATGTTCAGATTGTATAGCTCTACCTAATGTTAAATCATGTCAAAACTGTTGAATGACTTATAGGAGTTATGCCCTTAAAAGATGAATTTACCATTTTTAAAAGTTTTTGCCTATTATCTCGAAAATCATAATAGACAGAAACTTTAAATAGCAAAAATGATGAGCAAGACAAATAAGTCTACATGGCTGAAATTTTCAGTTGACACCTTATTAGAAATATTGCCCTATAATGACGATATTTACCAATTTTTTTGCATTTTAAGGCGAAGTGTACGTAATATAACTACTCCACAGAATTTTTTTATATTTTACATGTAGATTCTGCTTGTAAAATTACATCAGAATATAAAATAAAAAAAGGGGGTAACCGTTTTCGTTTTTCAGATACAAGCTGTTAAAACTAACAGCATGATACGCCAGAAATACAAAGGATATATAGGGAAAATCATAAAAAACGGCAGATATTTTTACTTTATCATGATTTTCTAATTCGTTGGTCCACAGAATTTTTTTTAAGTTCGAAATGCGTTTAAAAAATAAACGACGAATCCATTGGTGTAAAGAAAGTCCTTAGCAACCGTGCTAGTTTTCAAGCTATATTCTCTTGAAGTTTGATATTTAGCGGAAAATTATAAAATATTCGGGGACGTTATTGACGTTTGCAGTAACGTCACCACAAATTCTACTCTATAACGCTAGTATACCCATTGTACTGTACAGCAGTACTGCAGACTGAGTATTGTCATACAAATCGTGAGTGCGTGTAACACATTTTCCTAAGTATTGGAAATGCTAAAAAAAATAAAAGCGTAATCGGTTGACATGGTTGATAATGATACAAACTGAAAAATGTTTAAGGATATTTCTGCTGCCAAAATAATGCAAATTGGCAAATAAATATACTGCAAGTGAAAGAAAGTTACTGTATAGATTTTAACTCCATCTTTTCTTGATTAGACAGGGTTCCACATCTTTTTTTTTTAAATATTTGTATTGTTCTAATAATTTTAAATAAAATATCGAGTTGTCCAGATTAGTACAGAATGATTCTATACATATTTGAAAAATTCGGTTATAATATTGGGATCGCTTCTTTTCATCCTCACCATTTCCGGCACTATGCGAGGTATTGCGTACACAACCCATTCTATTTGTCAAGTTCACACACGTGCACGTGATTCTACAATTTTACTTGGAAATTTCCTGTCTCGATAGCTTTCCCTTTTCTTTAACGACACGACAAGGCATTATACATGGTATAATGATTGCTGGAGATTCATTAACAAAGGAAATAATTTTTTGTACAATTATTTCTTAAATTTCCACATGTACGACTCATAAAAAATAAGAAATCTGCAAATGCATATTATCTTGAGAATGGCTGTAATAAGGTCAAAAGAAGAACCCGTATATGAATTTCTGCAAAATAAAACAGATCGGAGTTTTTTATATAACTTCCCGTTGCATAGATCACTGCCTGTGTTATGCCTTAGCATTGTGTATATTGTAATGCTAAAGCCGTATTGTTAAGTCTAAGTCTAAAGCTTTGTGTATTATAGTTATATGCTGTAAATGTGCTGGTGTCATGATATAAACTGGTGTCATGATATAAATGTACTGGTGTCATGAAATAAATATACGTATGTAATGCTATACGAATGTACGTATGCAATGCTATACGAATGTACATGTACCTATGTAATGATATACGAATGTACCTATGTAATGCTATACGAATGTACGTATGCAATGCTATACGAATGTACCAAGGGCGATGTTGTGAGAATGTAATCATCCAGTATGATGCTAAAAAAATGTTTCTAGTGTAAATTCATTAGATTGTATCCAGTACAATGTAAGGAGACCACTTCTAAGCAAGGAACGAAGCTCATAAACTCGGCAATAAAATCAGGACCTCTAGAAAGTTCGGAGAGCCGACAACCTTGCTTCGGAAGTTGGCAAGGAAACTGTTCATAATGTAATGCTATACGACTTTACCTTGCGTATTGTGCCTGTATCCAATGCAAATACATAAAAAAAAACATAAATTGGGTTTTTTAATGTGATATAAAAATTAGGAGATGTGGTATCATTGCAAATTGGACAACTATTTGCCACAGTTTAAGGTAGATCTATCGGGTATATTTTTTCTGAGCGTCCTTTCAGGTCATGTTGCAAAATTACTTATTTATTTTACAAATAGTTTACCAAGTATCATTCAATATACAACAAAATACCTACAACTTGAAATCTAAAGATTGAACTATCAATATGTTTTTTCAAGAAAATTAGGCCCGTGATCCCCTTTTTATATATACATATATATATATATTTCAGAAGTATTAATTAATGAAATTATCTCTTCGAGTTTTAGACAATTCTATCGTTTAATGTTTCTTCAATAAGGAAAACTTAAGTTTCCCCTATATAAACAAAATAAAATACCCTAAATGTGGTTAATTTTAATGTATTGTTACGAAAAAAACAATGTCCGCGATCCCCAGTTTTTATATTGAAATTTGAAATTACTTTGACCGAAAAGTCTTTTACAGAAGCTTACGAAACATTTATCGCCGAAAATTTTGACACCCCAGCTGCCTTATTGAATGAAGTGGATATAAGCAACTATAATAGGCAACCATAAGGCCATCAACCATGAGAAAAATCCCTAACGTTTAGTCGGTTATAAAAGGCCCCGACAAAGTAACATTATTTTCTTCACCCGCACCCTTCTTCCCTATACCTTATACTCTATAATTCTATAATACTAGTAATCTTCAATATTGAGACTTGAGAAGAAAAAAATACTTCAAAATTGTATTCTCTACTTCTGAATGATACACAAAAGAACAACACAAGAATGCAAATTTCGCTATCCTTTCGAAATTGGAATTTGATCAAGAAAAAAACTGCATGTTCTATTTTTAGCATTCTCAGATCTGCAGTGACATCACAACATGTAACTGACCAATCAATGATTAGCATTTGTGTTATGTAAACAATGTTGAGAGGTGATGCCAATAAGAATCCTCTAGATTTTCCATATACTTCAATGCAAATTAATTTAATTGATATATATTGACACCAGTTGAATATAGTAATTTTACTCTTTTAATATTGTTAAAGACACTATATAATATCTCCATTTTTATTTTTATCATACTATATCCTCTGGTTAAAAAATAATCGGCAATATAAATAATCAGTAATCACCTTCAAATAGATGAAAAATGCATGTGTAGTTTCAGTTTCAACCATGGTTCTAAATTTAGATTTTACTTTCCCAAAAAATTGCGGACGGAGTAGAAGACACCTGTTTATTTTCTGCTCCTTGAGAACTGAGATTTGGATGAGATAGATGATTTACTTAGTCTGAGATAAATGTCACAGTGCTGAATTCTTATAGTTTCTGTGTAATGTTTTGTAGACGGAATCTGATTTTTTTGTTCGTTTTTATTTTCTGTAAGCTTTGTCCTTCCACGTATAGGCCTACATGTTAAAAATGTTTCACTTGTGGTCGATTACCCTTTATCATTGTTTATACTTTTCACACAAATATAAATTATCCTAAAATTTCCAATTGCTTAAAAAACGTGACATGCCAACGCCTTTCTAGTTCAACATACATATTTACATGCAATTTACCGGTAATTACTGGGTTACCTTCACTGAAGATTACGCTAGACTGACACTGTAAATTTCTTTCAAATAATATTGTGGGGTCAATTCTGGATTGATTTTAACGAGTATGATACGACTAGAAGCAGAATTGTCACTAGTTTATTTGTTTATTTTTTATTTCTGTTGAAATAAATACGAGCGGTATTATGTACCCGCTCCTGCGTGAGGCTAAAACAAAAACAGTTGCAGACTAACACACAATAGGATACTAAGATCTAAGATTTCTGATTGGAGTCATCTAATTTCTTTGAAATTTTGACATAGCACAGGAATACTTGTTTGGGTTCATGATAGACCGCACAAAGTCATTAAAATTATGATTTCTCTCTCATGTGCCCATTTCCCGTTCTTGGAGTAGGGGAGACAACTTGCGTAACTAACGACGCACGTTTTGTATCCCGAATTCCGCTAGAGGCGTGCAATTACGTATACTTCGCCTTAACCTAATATCTTAAAAACTATATTAGATAGATAGAAACTGTAAATAGCAAAAATGATCAGCAAGACAAGATCTACAAATAAGCCTAATGGCCGAAATCTTGTCGACTCGTTATTGAAGTTATTGCTCTTTAATGATAATTTTTCCCATTTTTGCCTAATAACTTGAAAACGGTAATAGATAGATAGAAACTATCGCTCAAGGTAAAATATATATGGCATAAAGGACCATCCATTAGTAAAATCAGTATAAGTTCAAACCCCCATGAATTATTTCTTAAATACAATTTACTTTTGCATCTTTTATTTCATTTCTTCATCTGAATGATTTTTGGGGTTTCCTTTATCAAAGCATGAATGTTGCAAAGGCAGGGCAATCAAACCAGATACTTAGGAATCGGTATTTGCTAATTCTTCTCAAGCATGCACATTTAGCAACGGCAAAAACTGGCTGGATCAGAATTGGAATTATAATGTGTCCAGACTCCAGAGAGGATGACAAGTTATTCACCAGACTCATCTCTTCAACTAATTCTTTCAAAATAGGATCAGTATGACAGCATTGTACAAACCAGCATATAATTCACATTTCATAGACATATTTTTGGATTGAATATACATGTAATATTTGCAGCTGAACATTAATCAGTCATTTACCAACCTATCAATCTCTATAGAAAAGTTTAACATTTATATGGCTTCAGATAGCCTATAGTTACTATATTATGTACTACATGAAATTGTTTCAAAGCTATATTTAATGGTAGTTTTTCAATAGTGTCTATTTAGTCAAGATCAGTAGGTTGGTTATTATGCACTGTCCCTTTTTGAACAATTGGTATAAGTGGCAAATTCTATAGGCTCAACTCACATTGATGTCCATTATTATTCTTGTATGGGAGTGTCAGGCTATTATACAATTGGCCTTGAATCCCACAAAAAAAGATAAACAATGTTCTGCTCCATATAAAAGGGAGGACATTTATGGAGGGAATCCATCATTTTGGTATTGCCACTCCATGGCTTAACAAAAAATTATAAGCAATCAAAAAAGGTACTTAATTTTATAGTGATGTAAAGTTTGAATATCAATGTCACTGGGAAAAAAATAGAGAAATGCTTAACATTAAATGATGGAACACCTGAAAAAGGACCTACTTCTAGGTAAACACCTTTAAAGACACAGTCTTCCATTAATTGTTTGTTTCATTTCAATTTACCTGTACTTGATAAATAAAACTAAAGATATAAATTCTCTGCTGGTGACACTTGTAGAAGCTTTCAAAGGAACATGTCCATCATTTGGTTTCCTTAATTTCGCAGGTTCTTTAGGATAAAGTATTTGAAACTTGGATTAATCTTAGCTTTTTAGGCCCCTTTTGATTGTGAATTACTTCATCATGGCCATCTAACACATTTGGTAAGTACCTTCTAAAGAACAGTCCTGCATGGTTTGATTTATTTTAACATTGGGATTCTTGAAAATAATAAAAATCTTCATTTTGCCTGGGACCTCTAATACAAATAAATTTTGTCCCAGATTTGTATTGGAATTCAGTGTAAAAAACGAAATCCACAGGCGGCTACTGTGAAGTTTAGCTCGGCACCACAGTAACAACTCTTAAGGAACATATCTGTGAAGTTAAGTTTCAATTGTTTCATCTGGTTTTTATGCCCGCGCCGTAGCGGTGGGGGCATTAAGTTTTACCCTTGTACGTACGAACGAACGTACGAACGTCCCAAAATTGGTTTCCGTTCTCTAAATTGAGTTTGCCTCAACCAAATGTTATGACACATATACACAATGCTTATTACCACAAAACACAGATCGAGTTTGAATTTTGGGGGCGTCACTTTTACCGTTCTAGAGTTATGCCCTTTTATAAATGGAAAAATTGCAAAATTTTTAGTTTCCGTTCTCCAACTTAAGTTTGCCTCAACCAAATGTTATGAAACTTATACACAATGCTTATTACCACAAAACACAGATCAAGTTTGAATTTTGGTGGCATCACTTTAACCTTTCTAGAGTTATGCCCCTTTATAAATGGAAAAATTGCAAAATTTTTATTTTCTTCTAAATATCAAGTAATTTTTAAAATTGGAGTTATCTTCCTTTGTCCATGATTATAGTTGAATCAACTACAATCAATGCTTTATACAATGCAATGTTTAATTTTGACTTCCACTGATAAAACACAGATCAAGTTGAATTTGGGTAGTGTCACTTTAACCATTATTGAGTTATGCCCCTTTATAAATCGAAAGATTGCAAAATTTTTAGTTTCTATTTTGTAACTTAAGTTTGCCCCAACCAAACATTATGAAACCTATACACAATATTCATTACCACAAAACTAAGATCAAGTACACATTTTTTGTTATCCGTTTTCGAACTTTAGTTTGCCTCAACCGAATGTTATGAAACTTATACACAATGCTTATTACTACATAATACAGATCAATTTCAAATTTGGGTAGCGTCACTTTTACCGTTCTTCAGTTATGTCCCTTTATAACTATATGCTATGCAAGCGGGGGCATCATCTGTGTCCACATGTGGACACTATCCACATTTATTTTATACGAGAGTCGGGTCAATCTAACCCATTTTTTGGCACCTTTAGGTTCTTTATCAGAACCAAAGTTACAAAACTTGGAAAGTTACCTTCTTAAAAAAATTCATGAATGGTTTGATTTCATACAAATAAAATGTCTTATTTTGATTTCAATGTAAACTTAATATCCCCTTTCGGCTATTTGGAATTTCTAGTTAGTGAGCATCGTAGTTACAACACTTGTCGAGGGTCTTCAAGGGAACATCTGTCAATTTTAGTTTCAACTGGTTGATTTGATAAAGAGGCAGAAGATACCAAAGGGATATTCAAACTCGTAAGTCGAATACAACGCCATGGCAACACAACGGGAAACGACCAAAAGACAACAAACAGTAAACAATACACAACATAGAAAACTAAAGACTGAGCAACACGAACCCCGCCAAAAACAACAGAAATTCGGTTAGCAGATTAAAAAGATTTTAATCAATGTTTTACAAATTTTTTTTCTGTATTTCCTGTCTATTTGTAATACATCGGCACCAAAGTAACAATTCTTTTAAAAGGAACACATCTGTTAAGTAAGGTTTCAATTGGTTCATCGTGTTTTTTATTATATGAGAATCGAAAAAAAATCCAATGTGCAGATAGTAAGTAACTTGCACATTGCTAGAAAACAAAGAAATTTTGATGCCAACGTTAAATACGTTAATAATGTAATACAAATAGACGGGAAATACGAAAACAAAATGAAAAATATTGATTAGAAATGTTAATCTACTAACCGAGTCCCTGTAAACCAAATCGTGATGGCATCTGTAAAACTTTCGAAGAGATGACTTCAACTTCACCACTTAGACCCTTGATATAATAGCTCAGTCTTGTAAGCAGCAAACCACTATCAAGAAAAAAATATGATAGGAAATACATGCTCGGGAATATTTTATCAAACTGGGAGATATATACTCCATATGCAGGCGCTGCTGGAATGTTGCTACATAGAAATGGAAAGTTCAAGAATAGACGTTTAAATGAAACCACACTATGCAGAGATATCCTTTCGAAGGTATTTGGTACATGTGTTTTGGGTCTTTTGTCCTTAAAAAAGTCCAAGGTATAGCTTAAAGAAACCAAATTTGCTTGTTTGTCTTCAATTTTTCTTGTTTGTCTTCGGTTTTTCTTTCTAAATATGGTTTGAAAGATTCGACACTAGACGTTAAACAAAATGGCAATCAATCTTATTTTTAATGAGGATGTAAGAATTCATAAATCGAAAATGTGTAATTTATATAGACGGTTCAATCACACATTGTGTCGTTATAATCATTGCTTTTGTCAATGTCAGTTTCGATATTTCATGATCAGAATTTGGTGTTACTGACCCAGGATCCAGGGGGTAATAATAGTGAATTTACTTCTGGTCATTTCACATGGTCAATTGAAGGCATTCTAAGCCTAGATGTTTCTCAAATTGAATATCTATTTCTGATTAAAATTTGGAAGTGCATGCTGGTCAATGCCAGATTTAAAGTAGCAGAAAATATTTCGATAACACCCCTGCGTAAAAGTAATTAGATGGTACATTCCACTTATTTTGTTTTAGAAATTAAAAAACCACAGAATTTTAGAGTTCTTATCAGAACCAGATACTGTACCGTAAGAGTACAATTTAAATATCAACTGCCTGATTAATTTATGAACTTCATAATTTCGTTGCAACATTTTTTCTGCATAAACAAAAGAAAAGGCAGATATTTGATGAAACATGAGCACCAATGGAATAGATGTTGAAGGTAAGTTTTTTTTTATTACCAGTAACCATAACCATATCGGTAATTAATCATAAGGAGAAAAAAAAACAAACAATATACACATTTTATTTTAAATATATTTTTATATCATTCTATTTGCGTTAAGTTATTTTTTTACTGAACATATTTTGTTATTAACAAGAAGACTTGTCACCCATCTCTACTCAATTCTTAAGAGCTGACCATGCCCTTATCATCTTGACAGTAAACGGCTTACACGACTGTGTTCACATAGCCAGATCAGATCGAAACATTCCGTAGCGTTATCAATTTGAAAGCAGATATTCTAAATGTCTGGCCAGAAAAGTGTCAACTGGAACCATGAAGTCGAGATTTAAACTAGTGTGTAAACAGATGAGAGCATTAATTTCGAGGTTTTCCAATTTTTCGGATAAATGGAAAATTCTATTCTATTCACATATTCATTGGAATTTACAACGCCTTTAAAGAATTCACATTGATGTCTATATATTTTGGGACAGATTATCAGACGATGGGAGTCTTTCTTCACCAAATAATTCAATGCAGCAAGTGTCTTCAAAAATTTATTTTATCTCAATCTCCAACAGTTAACAGCAACTGGTAGTGTTATCAGTAGAACGTATTAAATCATATCTTCTTCCTGTTGAAGAAGCGTCGTTTATCTTTTAGATTATGAAATGCGAGACATTAACATTAAACATGATGTATTTATTCCATATCATCGACGTTTTGTGGTTTTTCAAAGAGTTATGAAAACCAGACTATTTCACGACTTTTTAAACATGAAATAGTTACATATTGTAAATAAATTTAATCAAAAGAAAAAAAAATGTTTCTCTCGATTTATTGCTTTAGTGATTTTTAAAGGATGTTTATGTATCGAACTGCCAAAGATCTTTTTTTTTTCTTTTTTATCCAGTTTTTGTTAACATTTTGAAAACAACGAGGTAAAACAGATGTAAACCTCGGATACACATGGTAGGCTAATTCAAATAGATAAAAGATGCAAAAGATCAGATAGCAACTAGTTTAACGATTTAACAAGTAAACACAGTATCCGCCACTTCAAATTATTTTTCAATATCTCAATATCTTTAAACGAAATAAAGTCTGACCACAAACATTTGTTGTAATATCTATGCTTCAGTTTATGTATACTTTACATTGCCTTTGAAGCACTCTTTGCGTTTGATTTTGTTACTTTAAGCTCACAAAAGCTACCAACCTACTGCTCACGTGTGCTTGAGGCCTTGTAGGCCCCCTTTTCTGTAACAGACTTTTCTACAAAATTTCTTTAGTTATTATATCAGCTTACTTGCGATATTTAACGTGTTCTTGCTATCCCAAACACAATCTAACATTGCGAGCAGTTTGTATGGGCCGAACATTCATAAGAACTAACTTTTTACGCAGTTTTAAAGAAGAAACTATTGCATGTATAATTCACAGTGTCCTATGTTAAACTATGTAATCACAATGTTGACAATCTTGGTTTTCAATTCCATTTTCATTATAATGCAACTTTCTAAAATACACCAATTTGACATGTAAGGAATTGATTAAGGCAATTAGTCTCTTTGCTCGATAATATTTATTTTTTGTTTTGAATTAAAAATGTCTGAAGAAAACTAACTGGTCGCCTCTTATTGCAGATTTGTAACTTAGGAAATCATATGAAATTAGCAATGTATCTCCCTGATGCATAACTCTCCCTGATGCATAACTCTGTTTGCGTATCTGGTTTTTGCTGTATTTACTATGGTCCTTTTTTTTTATTGTTTCCAAAAAATTTGACCTCGAGCATCACTGCCGCGACATTTATTAACGAAATGCGCATCTGGTGCAGTAAAACTGGTACCGTTAAATAATGTTATTCGTAGATTTTGCTGTTTACAGAAGTCATCAATCTTCTTTTTACATTTATCTAAAACACATTTTAATTATTTTTCCTAACTGGCAGAGAAAGGCACAAAAAAGTGTAATTATACCAACTTAAATTCAGAATCTAAAGCTTAATTTTGCTTGTTTATTTTGTTAAATCGAGTTGAAAGGAAAAAAGATAAACCATATTTTTGTTAAAACCACAAAACTGTCAAAGACTGTTTACTAGTGTTTGCACCAGTTTGTATAATCATTAGTACATCATTACTGGTTAACCAGATAAGAATGAGAAATATATTAACAGTAATTTCAGGCTATTGATCGTTAGCTTGCAAAGAATTCCGCTCAAACCGGTGCTAGGGGCCGCCTTAAACTTGCAGTGAGGTGAGAGCTTTTTTGCTTTGTGTTGAAGGACTCACTGCGACTTTGAGACGACGAACAGCAATAAAAGCTCTGTCCCTTTGGTTTTTGTGTTTTTTGCTGTGTACATACTGATTTTGTGTCATGAATGTATACCCCATATCATCTCTTTTCTATTGAGAAGGAATCAAACTAAATCAGAATATCTTTAATATCAATATTTTGTTCATAATTGCCCAGTAAATGAACTTCAAACCAGTTCGATAAACATGGAACCTATGAAGTTTTATGTGTCCGTTTTTAAGTTTCAATCTGCATTTATTATGATTTAGTAGGGACAAAAAAAATATCGTAAATCAACTAATTTTCGCGAACGATATATTTTCGCGAGTTTCGCGAGTACAAAAATAACGCGAATATTAGTCGTCGCGAATATGTAAAACTTGGATCTTTCCTTATTTAAATACATCAAGTAAATTAGAAAATCGCAAAATTAAATTGTAGCGAAGTGGACTAGAATGGGCTATACACAAAATAAAGTATCGCGAAAATAAGTTGGTGTACAGTATAATTTTCCACCAGAAAACAATTCTAAACAGAGCAAACGGTTAAACTCTGAGCAGTGAAAATAACAAAAATAAAATGTGGGATTTAAATTATCAAATGAAAATTTATGCACTTAAACATATATATAAGAGCTGGCAATAAGTTATGTTACTATTCAAAATATATGTTTCGGTTGTTTTTTTCATAAAGATCAGATGAATTCATTTGTTTATCCAACCATTATATATACCAGAAAGTGGTGCGAACCGATTTAAAGGACCAAAAAATCAATGAAATGTGACCGAAGTTTATTTATTCTTCGTCGGGTTCTTGAAGCGAAAACACTATTGAATAATATTGTGTACATGTGTGTATTGCTAATCCTGCACGAATCGTGCATGTTGCGGTGGCATATTTGCATCTGCGCAAGGTGCAAACTGTAACACATGTTATTGCGGTACACAATGTGACTATAAGAAACGAGGTCTATCTTCTTTGATTTTCATATGTTATGCAATATGCTTTGCACTTATTTTTTTTTTACAGAAGTGAGAGAAGTATTTGATTTGTACGATTTTTGGGACGGTCGTGATGGTTTGATAGATGCTGAAAAGGTTGGCGACCTCTTACGGTGTTGTGGATATAACCCGACAGAATCTTTTGTTAAGAAAGTTGGAGGAACCAAAAAGGCTGGTATGTTTTAGTCGCCGATTTATATCGCAAAAGTATAAACTAACATAAAAGAACAGAGTTCCAATGTCCCCCGCGTTGCACATATTTTATCTATCCAGGGGCAATAACTTAAAAAAAAACTTTTTTTGTTGTTCTTTAAAACAATTTATAAATAAAAAGCCGTGCGGGGAGGACAAAAAAGTTTTTTTTATTGAATACTAAATATTTAAACAGACCTTCAAGGGCTTTACTTATAGTCTACTATAAGTTTTATAAAAAATTGTACCCGCGAGAGCGCTAACGAGGCCATTTTCACAGGCACTTGTCTCTGAAAATTTTTTTCCTATATACCTTAATATAACACATTTCCAAGGGGCATAACTCTTTTAAAAAAAAGTCGATCGGCCACCATTATAGAACTTGTCCGAGATATTGCTGATATTAACCTATAGTATAAGTTTTATAAAAATCTAGCAAGAATTGTACCTGTGAAAGCGCTATCAAGACCGGACGGACGGACAGACGGACGGACGCCCGGTATTTCCATGAACCTGCATTGCCCACCATTCATTTGAATGCTTCATACATCCATCAATTTCAACTTTAAAAATTACTTTTATATTATTATCGTAAAAGAATTGATGTTTGCGCCTAAATTGATACACAATTTTTTTTCATTGCGCTTAGTGGTTTGGTATATATATTTCAGAGATATTGAATTTGGTAGAGCAGGAGAAATAAAAAAAGCATGAAATTGCAATTTAATTTTTTTTTATTGAAAATTGGAGACATTAGGTCGGCGGATCCGTAAACCAACAAATAAAAAAATAACTCGCCTTAGTAGAGCCAAATTGATTATCGGCGTCTTTATTTTGAGGTAGATTTTCTAAAGCAACGTCATAAACCGATGCATTACATTTGCGCGCATTACCAAATACATTTGCACGCAAAAATCATTACGTTCGAAAATGTAATGCGCTCATAAACAGTAATAGAGGGTGCTATGCTCAAAGTAAACCTTTACGGAATTTAAACGTCGAAAAATGAAACATTCAATATAAAAATAAGAAGATGTGGTATAATTGTCAGTTAGAAAACTCTCCACAATAGACCAAATGACACAGAAATTAACAACTATAGTTTTATAAGTCTTGTTTCAAACTTTTAATAAACGAATAGAGATTATTAGTCTCCAAAATGCAAGAATTAAAAGAATATTTTTTTTTGTGTTTCGTGCCGATCTGATATTGGCAACCATACCATACCTCCTCTTTTTATATAGAGGCATTAAGTAAGATTTGACGGGCAACTCCGAAATCTTGATTGTTTTATAAATAATATTATTGTTCTTTTGTAGTCAGTTAATCATATAGCATATTATTTCCAGGAGAAAAACAGTTTTCTTTCGAAGAATTCATTCCAATAGTTAAAGCAATAGAAAAAGAAAAAGACACTGGAACAATACAAGATTTTATGGAGGCATTTAAGTCGTTTGACAGAGAAGGCATGGGATTTATCTCCCTTGGTGAAATGAGACACATGCTAACAGCCATGGGTATATTTAAATGTTATATAACCTGATCTTAACTTCACGTTAAGTGTTGAATTATATTCTGATTTTTACAGAACTTATTAAGAAACTAACATCTGTTAAATGTAAAATTTGAAAATGACCATAGATATATATTAAAATGATATTAATTCTATTTATTGGAAATAAGATATCTTTATTTATTATCATTTTTGTTTGAGCATTTAGGCCTTCTTGGGATAATGCAATTGCATGTAGTGATTTAACTCAATACGATGAAACAAAAGGAGGGAGAACATTTCCCTTTACTCTCAATATAGGAAGATGATGATGGTTATTATGAATTGGTGTTTTATGGTCAGGGACAAATATTTCATGCATATCAGGGCGAGAATATGTTAATGAAAGAGAGGAGAGACGAAAGATATCAAAGAGAAGTTAAAACTCAGATAATTCGAAAGCAAACTGACAATGCCATGGCAAAAAAAAACGATCAAAAGACAAACAACAGTACTAGCATACAAAACACAACATATAAGACTGAACACGAACCCCACCAAATACCTGGGGATATAAATATTAGCACGACATGCTGGACTGGATTTTCAACGCTGAAGTTCACAAACTGAACAGGCCGCAAGAAAAGATGTAGCCCTACCCCGACTCCGAGCCGACCAGTGTTTTCTCTTACTTCAGTAGAACAAACAGAATTAATAAATCGCCAAATCTTGTACATTGTACAATGAAATTCACTTATAAAAATTTTTTGACTTGAAGATGTAACCTTTTCCTGGTAAAATATCTTTGTATTTGTCTCTTCGCCGGTAGTTGGTATAACTTTTTTGCACTTTGATTTTACAGGAGATAGGTTACAAGACGAGGAGATAGACGAAATTTTGCTTGAAACTGATGTACAAGAAGATTTAGATGGGAACATTAAATTCGAAGGTAATTTCTTTCGAATAACAGTATGACACAGAAAATCTTACAGTTTTATGGTGTTCTATCGCAGAAGTGGAATACTGATTTAAAACTATAAGTCATCAACCATTTTTTCGTTATCTTTTTATTTAAACAAAAATTATCGTTATATATCTTTGTTAAAACAAACATATAGGGAAATGATTTTCATATAGCGCACAACACGCGATTTAGTTTGACCCGGCATCAGACACGCTCTAGACAAAAAGTTTGGAAAGTCAATACTGAAAAAAAACTTTGAGAGCATAACAATCAAAAGAGCCTAACATCATCTTACTTTTCTTAAGCCTTAGTTTTAGCACAATTACATTGACTTCTGTGTCAAAGACAATATGTCACCACCAGTGGCCAGATGTTCACACAGATAGCCTCAGTGGATTTGTAAAACAATCCGTAAGTTTCAAGATATTACAGTTTCAAAAGTCATTCGTGTTTGGATAATTTAAATGTTAATGATAGTGTTAATATTATGAAATTGTAATTATTCACTTTCAGATTTCATCAAGAAAGTATTAGAAGGACCTCCAGAGAAAAGTTCCAAAACTTAGTGGAAATTATTGAAACCTGAGGATTTTTTCTACCAATTCAATATATTTTTATTATGGCATATATATGATACGTATGATTAGTGTCAATATTGTATCATATTTATCATCTTTTTGCTTCTTCATGGTTGTTTCCCATATAATTAATTCCGAAAAATAAGCCATGATAAGGCACATCATTTCATAAATCATCATTTCGATATGCAATTATTTTTCTGTAGATAAGTTTTCACTTACTCGTATAGGTCTATATATAGAAGATGAATAGCTTGTATAATAGATATGACATACTTTTTAAATGAACATTCTGATATTGTAAAATTCAAATGGACAGTCTCTTTTCTGACAGGTCCATTCTATTCGTCCCCACATTGTGCACGTTTATATGTATCATTGACAAGGGAATTTGATTTCTTCTCGTCTCTGCTTTCAATAGCAAAGCCTATCGTTGTAGTAAACACGTATAAATCTTAATGTTTATAACATACACACGTTCAGTTCTAATAAAACTGTGAAAAAAGTAATTGTGTAAATTTGTACTGTGTAGAGGCGAGGGACATATCAGAAGGGGTTAGTTGGGACACCGAATTTAATCAGCAGGCGTAAAGAGGCGAAAAACTTGTTATTTTATATTTTGCAGACTTTTTATAAAAAAAAAATAAATTTCGGTTGCGTTAGTCCCACACTAAAATTTTTGGTTGTGTGCAGTATATAGAGACTAGCAGAGTACTGAAGCCATGAAAATTAAAGCAAGAACTCGTTATGTAGCGGCACTGGTTGAGGAGTCCATTGGGAGCGGGGGGAGGGATGCATGAACTTTTACAGAAATTGTAACAGGTGTTTAAAAAGGTTAAGTATAACACACTGCGTATATGGGACCCTTTGATTTTGGGCGTATTTTAATCAAATAAAAACATGGTCCTGTATAAAAACGAAATTTCATTTGTAACCTGAAAATGACCAGTAGTACTCATTCCATGGTGGAATTATCCGCATATTCGTAATCGCATTATTAGTTTTGACAAGGTAGTGTCTGTCACTGTAGTCATGTTCTATCATTGAAGTGGTAGCGGACAAGATATTTGACAAAATACTCTTGCTGTCATACAAATTCAATACGTAGGCGACACATGTATATAACTACTTTGGACCGCTGATATTGTGTTTTTCCCAGAAGGTAGAAAATAGACCTCTCATTTTACAGAAGAATTGGTCACTCTTCGCTAAGAAATGAAAGATTTTGCACAATACACATCTAAAAACACTGAACAGCGTTTGTATGTTTTAACAGTGGTTTTTTTTTCTCACGGAGAAAAATATTAAAATGTTTTACCACACAAGTGAACTATATCAGCAAACACTAAGTAGTATAATCCTTTCAACGTTCCAAGTAAATGTAAATCTTCATACATATATATGTACATGTAAATGTACATGTAAACATATATATGTAGATGTAAAAAGCTGTTCATACAGTTTGTTTAGCAGAAATGTTATGGTATCTTATAAAAATGCTGTTAAACCATATACAATTGTCTTAAATATATATTAACAGCAACTGAAAAGTGATTTAAGTAGAAGTGCTCTGCTAAGTGTTTTGCTCCTAAATCTATTTCATATCATGTTCATCCCTGCACATTTTCAAACGCATCCTATCATCACGGTCAAATGGTCTAAAGATGGTCCCAGATTTTAATATTTTCGAGTTGTCAAAATCAAACCAATTTTTAAGGAGAATATTTATAGCAGATTCATCGTATCTATGACAATCTGCATACTCTTTTCCTGAAAAGTCGAAATCACACTTCCATTTGGCTGATTGTGGAGCTAAGCACTTTGGTTCCATCGCACAGGCAACCAGTAATTTCATAAATTTTTCAATGACATTCTCGGAATTGTGAAGAATTAAGGCAAATATTTCCATATGTGGCGTGTGATACAATTTCTTTCTATCTGTTGGTAAATATTTGTACATCTGACGATGGGTTACGGCGTGTGTCGTGTGTGGCGAATTTTGACCAAGAACTCTCACATGATGATCAGCCGCTGTTTTAAACACATCCATTATAGCAGGCGAAATTGCCACGAAACCAGGATTTATCCACATTATATGACCAAACTCCGCCAAAGCAGTCTGAAATAGGTATATTAAAATTAACAGCATTTTTTTCTTGTTTGAATTGTTTCAACCTTTTATAGCTGACTATACGGTATTGGATTTACTGAAGGCCATATATAATGACCTGTAGTTGTTTACATCCACAACTGTGGTCTCTGGTGGATAGTTATCTCATTGGCAATCATACCACATCTCAACATTTTTATATTTCCTCAGAATTTATGGAAATCTATCCTCAGGTCAAAAATAAAATTTGAATTGTTTGATGTTGCCTACAAACCTCCTAAAAAGCAGCCTACCCGAAAAAAATTATGACACAAAGCTATTTCCCTGCTCTTACGTCGTTTTCTTGTCTTATGTTGTTGGCTAAAAAAAGTAAAATCCCTACATACCTCTCCAACCCTACAAGGCATGGGTAGGCTACATCAAACAAGGAAAGTTTTAAGGGTGGCCTCAGAAGTAAATAAAGTTCTGTTGTAAACTACGACATAGGCATTTTTGTGGGTTGAATATTTCATAAAATTTTCTTTATTATTTCAACTTATATTCATTTATTTTATGTGGTCTTTAATAAAAGATCTTAAACACACAAAAAAGAAGGATCCATGCCACAAGCGTTTGATGTTAACAAACGACAACGGTTATCCAACAGCTTCTCACCTGAATAATAAGTGGCTTCCAGTGATAATGATTCCAAACGGAAACGAAGTCAGGGAACAAATTTGACCAAAACTCTCGTATTCTCACATTGCATGCTGCCATCAACTATAAAATATTAACATAATAAATAGAATAATCGGTAAATATTATTTTTTCATAATTGAAAGGGCTAAATTGGGAAAATTTTGTATTAACGTTTGGTTTATATGTAAATTCTGAGGGTGTTGCATGGTTGTATTATTAAATTGTTAAATGATGTAAGTGCGCTTTATTCACTCAATTATATTCGACCTTAGTCGTTCTTTCCATTTCTATTTAGGGTAGTTTTACGTAATACCAGCTTCATTCATACTAATTTTACTTTCATAATTTCTGGCCACGTTTAAACGTTGCAAATAAAAGCGGACTTAAAATTGATATTTTATGCTTTTTTACAATACATGTTGTCTAAATTTAATTAAGAAAATGAAATTAAAGTTCCACTCTTCAACATGTGGCAGCAAATATGGAAAAACATTTTTTTAAAGAGTCTTTTGATGTTCACTTTATAGAATACTGCGCTTGCAGTAATTGTGGTTGTATTGCTTTTGAAACGTGTTTCTTGAGTGTTTTTATTATTATTATTAATTGGTAATATTTTAAAAATTACATGTCTTCTCTGTCTATCTGTAAGGTCAAGGTCAAAAATGTAAATTTTCTTATCTGGATAGAACTTCTGGAGAGATACAACCAACTGTTTAACTGCTTCGAAATCTTTGTTATTTGCTGCAGTGACTATTTCTGGGATACCATGTTCCTCGTGCACATCCATAGAGGCTTTATTTTCCACTTCCATCTTTTCGACGACTTTATTTGCTTTCTCCAAGAAAACTGGGTTTGGTGATGGTATTACGGCTGGTTTGTTGTCAATGAATTTCTCTGCCTTCTTCAACTCTTCCTCTTCCCTCTTCAGTGCAACGAGATCTACCTTCATTCCGTCCTCTATCTTTTCCTCTGACACTAATTTCACTTCATCCAAAATTTCTGCTATTTTGCTTTCAATATTATGTTCTCTTTCCAATTCTTTTGCCTCTTGTTGCTTATCTTCAACAATTTCTAATTGTTCTAAGTGTACTATATCGTCTTTATTTTCTTGTCTTATATCGTCTGTATTTTCTTGTTTTATATTGTCTTTATTTTCTTGTTTAATCTCATCTTTGGACTGGTCTGATTTGTCCAAGTCCACAATGTTGTTGGTATCAACAGCTCTTTCAATGTGAATTTCATTTTTAGCTTTGTCTATTGATTTTTTAAAACTTTCATATCTTTTTCTTTTTTCTTTTAATCGAGATATTTCTTGTTTTTCTTCCTTCAATGAATCCTGATATAAATGTTCATTGTTACCCGATCTAGCTTTGAAGTCATCGATTTCTTCATCTACTTGTTTCTCGTGATCATCTTTTACTGTCGGTCTAGTTTGTGGTACATCTACAACATTTTCGTGACTCTGAAAAGGAAGGTGTATTGTTTATTTATGTATGCATAAGTAGACAGACATTCAACTGTGTTGGCTCAAAACATGTAGCATTTTATATCTGATATTTCTTTATTTTAAAATACAAAAATTACATAGCGGGATCACAGTCTATGTCGTACGTTAGTTGATTTTGGTTAGGTGGCAATGAGGGGTTTAAACTAGAGGCTCTCAAGAGCCTGTGTCGCTCACCTGTATTTACTGATGCTTTGGAAATCATGTAAAATAAGGTTAAAATCATAATTAATAGTATTAGACATTAGATATTATACTGTGGATTCATTATTATTCGTGGGATACCAATTTTCGTTGATTTCGTGGTTACAGGTGAACCACGAATTTAAATATTCAACGAAATACAAATATTCTCTAGGCTTGTATGCAGACCTTAATAAAACCACGAAATCAAATATTCACGAAAATACAAAGTTTCCTCAATCCACGAAAATTGGTACCCACGAAAATAAATGAATCCACAGTAATGAAATCTAAGATAATAACAAAAAACTGCAAAATTTTTGTAAAATTACTAACTCAGGGGCAGCAACCCAACAATGGTTGTCGGATTCGTCTGAAAATTTCAGGGCAGATAAATCTAAATCTGATGACCATTTTTGCCACCTGTCAGATTTGCTCTAAAGGCTTTAGTTTCAGAGATATATATACCAAAAACTTCCATTTTACCCCTATGTTCTATTTTTAACCAAGTCGGCCATGATGGTTAGAAGGCGGGGTCATAGGACAAATTTTTTAAACTAGATACCATAATATTGATTATGGCAAAGTATGGTTAAATTTGTCTCAGTAGTTTCAGAGAAGAAGATTTTTGTAAAAGATTACAAAAATTTACAAAAAATTGTTAAAAATTGATTATTAAGGGCAATTACTCCTAAAGGGGTCGACTGACAATTTTGGTCATGACAATTTATTTGTAGATCTTACTCTGCTGAACATTATTGCTGTTTACAGTTTATCTCTATCTATGATAATATTCAAGATAATAACCAAAAACTGCAAAATTTCCTTAAAATTACCAATTCAGGGGCAGCTACCCAACAACAGGTTGTCAGATTTGTCTGAAAATTTCAGGGCAGATAGATCTTGACCTGATAATCAGTTTTACCCCCATGTCAGATTTACTCTAAATGCTTTGGTTTCAGAGATATAAGCCAAAATCTACATTTTACCCCTATGTTCTATTTTTAGCCATGGCGGCCATATTGGTTGGTTGGCGGGGTCATCGGACACATTTTTTAAACTAGATACCCTAATGATGATTGTGGCCAAGTTTGGTTAAATTTGGCTCAGTGGTTTCAGAGGACAAGATTTTTGTAAAAAGCTAACGACGACGGACGACGGACGACGGACGCCCTTCGGGCCAGGTGAGCTAAAAAGGAACAATGGGATATTTTGGATTATATACATGTAATATGCACATTTATCTAGACAGGAGAACCAGTCTAACGTACGACAGTTACCGACACGGGCACTTCTTTCTGTTGGGGCATGGACGCTGGACCCCCGTAATTATTTCCGTTCAACATTCAGCACAGTGCAAATATGGGAATCTCCCCGTGCACAGATATAGCTACGCAAAACTAGACCTATACAACGGTCCTTAGATAAGGATAATGGTCTGTTATATCAACATATTGAATATAATACAATATTTGTTTCAAATCCTCGCATTTGTACGAGAATTTTAAAGGGAAATCGGTAACGTTTAATGTTATATAGCCATTTTTTCCTACGCGGAAATTTCGGATCATTGCCATATTCTTCCCCCGCGGAAAGTTGACAATACATATACATGTAGCTATTTTTCGCCATGCCACTATTTCCCCCCACAAAATGGATATATATCAAAATTGCACGTTCATTTATTGCATATATTTTCCATATTTTCTCAAAAAATTAATGATCTCTATAATGCTATAATAATCTGTTTTTCGGCTTGGGTTGCATAGAAGAAATGTTTGAGAATTGTGTTCGTTTTGTCGACACGCGTGTCACTAGAAATATCTAGGTGTGGGGCACCTCTTACAGGGGTGCCGTTTGCATTTAAAAAATACCCCATTCATATATAGACTATATCCAAAAATTCGATTTATTCGTATGTCTTACATGAAAATGTGTTCCTATTCACATTTACTGTGGATATTAAACTGCTATTGTAAAAGTTGGAGATTAACACTTTCACCGCAGGAATAAATTTATTTAATATTCACCATCTATTCATATATTTAACATCCTGAAAAAACGGACATCAGTATAAAACTTATTTATAGGAAGTGACCCTTCAGTAAACATTGAACTTATGTTTGTGCAGCCGTCTGTGTAAATTAGCATTTTCATGTTAGATAGTATAGTGATTTCATCACTCATCCACAATTCTGAGTTCATTTCTGCATGGCCACTCGTCTGTCTACAGTCCATTAGTCTGTCATCATGTCCTGTGGTCTGTAACTTGTTCACCATATTGTGTATATACTCACCAGTCTGTCTACATGTCTACAAGTCTATGTCCAGCAGTCTGTGTGTGTCCGCAAGTCTCTCTACATATTAGCCAGTCTGTCTACGTCTCTACAAATCATTCGACATGTTCACCAGTCTATCTACGTGTCCGCCAGTTTGTCTTCGTGTCCACCAGTCGGTCAACATGTTCACCCACCGGTCTAGCTATGTGTCCACTAGACTTTCGACATGTTCAAGTCTGTCTACGAGTCCACCAGACTGTTAACATGTCCACATGCAGCCTGTCTACACATCCACCAGTCTTTGTGTGTGTTCCCTAGTATGTCTATGGGTCCACCAGTCTGTGAACAATGTTTATTGGTATGTTAATGTGTCCACTGTGATAATGGAAAATCAATTTCCAATTGACGTCGCCGACGTTACTACAAGGGGGAAAATGCGCTTCTCATGTTACTAGGGGAAAGAATAGGCCTGATCCTGGTCCCCCCATCACACAAAGGTGGAAACGTGGGATCATGCCAATATTTCGGGGGGGGGGGGGGGGGGGTTGGTGGACTGGATCGATCAAGTCCTTCCCCCGGAATAATTAGCATGGGGGGGGGGGGGGGGGGGAATGGATAATGGACGCCGGCCTGGTTTCAACGTACTTAGTACATTCTTCACGCACTGGTTTTGTCTTCTTAAAGGTTTAATATTCTCACGCTCTGTATATCTTCTACAGTGGTATAATTACTTACCTTCCAAAAAAGTCTGTAAGATGTGTGAATAAGTACTGCTACTAAAATCAAAATTAAGTATTTAACAATTTTCATTCTGGTTAATTTTCGCATAGGAATTGATCCTGATAAATTTATTTGATTTCCAAGTTCAAGATTGTCCATAGGATCTCGACCCCTTCGTCTTTGCATTTTTTAATATTGAATCAGTCAAACAATCACTTCATGTTAAAGTCATCTTTGTTTTCCACCCTAAACTATTTTTCCTGTACTATATATATTTTGACGTAACTAAAAAGAACGTGGCAATACGTTCAATATTTCTCATCCTTTCTGACAACAGCTGTTCGGGGGCTTTGTGATTTTGTCCCAATAATTGATGAAGTAGACCTAAATCAATTTTAATATGTCAGTGTAAATGATTTTTAGAATTACAAATATGCAGTTCAAAGCAGAAATACCATTACCTATAATAAAACGATGTATTGCTCAATTTTAAAACAATGTAATTAGACCTATTTTAATTTTCAAAAAAATAGTGCTTTTCCAGACCATTAAAGTAATTTTAACTTGCGGTACATTTACTTTGGCTGAACTTAGAATTTAATTTTTAATAGCTGGTGAATCTGAAACAATAGGCAAGACTTAGTTACACCATCTTGTGATAATGGTAAACAAAAGTCAACGGCGTGTTTACTTTGATAACAAAAGGTTTGAAGGCAAGCTACTGTGAGTAATAGATTTACAAAAACATATCTGTTGAACCTAGTAATCTGAAAACGGTTGGACAAATTACAACAGGAACTGTTAATCTTGGTTAACCTGGATAACTATAAACACAGAGAATCTTGAGTTCTTTACATATATCAATGTTCATGATTAGTTTTCCTGAAATATACGGATTTTTAACGACTATGTTTTCGGACACATCGATCTAGTTCTTGCATATATATTTATATTGTCTGTGTGTAAATTTGTCGATTTTAAGTTATGGCTGTTCACATTGATAGAGATAAAGAATATAGATCTTTACAAAATAATAAACCCTTGAAATATTTGACTTTTTTTAAAGATGGCCTTCAGAAATACTGTGATGAGGTATATTCAACCAGCGTTGTCATTCAGATTCTTCAATCGCAATCTTTACAATTTGCAGTAATATCAAGACTTTAGATTTTTCTTCGCTTTACACAACTATGTCCAATGGTCAATTGAAAGAACGAATACATCGTCCGGGATGGATAAAAATTCTTTTGTTTTGAGTCTTGACATTTCTAACTTTGCAAAGAACCACAATGGTTTTAAACAACAAATACACAGACGATGATATTATAACAGGGGTTTTGGACGACCCTGCTATAACAACTGTTCTGGGGAGTAGCTCACAGTATAAGTAAATAAAACATTAATTCGGATACCAAAAGTTATATTAATTCAAGTTCAAATACAACTACAAGTATTGTTAAACACAGTATAAAACATACATGTAAATACACGGCAAAGTCCAGTATACATGTTTTGTTCACTACGGGTTTCCGTATGCATATCAATTCAACGTCCGTGCCTTAGTCTGTCGGGTTCCCAACTAAAAGTCACACTAAATCTTAATTGAACTATCTACTACACGTAATATTACATCATTAGCTATAAACCAACAAAATACAAAAGCATCTTAATTGTTAAGATAATAAACTTATCGTGAAAGTATTTAGACAATGGACAATGACAAACGGATTATAAGGTGCGTAATGTAAAAAGCGTTGTAATTTTTTAACATACATTTGTACATGTAGTTAAAAGTCTTTTAAAATTAACATGACTGACATGAAAGAAAACAGAAGAATTGTCTGAAAGATAAATTAAATGAAATAAATAATTCTTAAAGTTTCTATATGTTCACACTAGATGTAAATGAAAAATATCACTGTCACAAATTCCCTCCCGGATCGAATAAGACTCTGTCCCCAGAGTCTGCGCATTACTGTTCCCAATTCGGCTTCACGTTTCCTTTTAGAAACTCTTCCCGTAAGTCATGTCCTATGTTAGTGAAAAGCATAAAATGGGGAGGTCCTCCAATTCTTATTATTTTGTCTTTATTGAAGTCAGGATAATATTTTCCTTCGTTCCATAGTCTGAGAGATCCGTCCTTTTTGCCGAGGAAACTAACATCATTGTCCACGATGCATTTTTGGAGTTCTTTGATATAAGTTTCACGGTCCCGCACAATAGTTGCGAAACGATATTCCTCGCGTAGAGTCTTTTCTAGCTCTGATTTGAAGCATTGAATTAAATCTGTGAGTCTTTCCGTTTCTGATTTTAAACGCATAATTTCTTTTTCGGAGGAGCATATTATCTTTCGGTCTTCTGCCAATTTTATCTTAAATTTCTCAAGTAGTTCCTTTTGTTGATTAGACTGTTTTTGTAAACTTTTCTCCCTTTGAATTAATCCTTTGATAACGGTTTCTTTTTCTGTGTTCAAAACTCTTTCTTTCTCCAATTCAGTTTCGACAGTGTTAATTGAAGAAATGTTTTGTCCAGAATTATACGAATATGAATTGTTAAGAGCCCCGTAGAACTTTGCATTGTCTATTTCGGCAAAAGGAAAGTCAGAACAAGTTCGTTTTTGAATAAACTGCAGCAGCCTTTGACGGTCCCTCTCTATCTTTTTCGAAGACTTAATCTTCCTGTCGCGCGTACAATTCTTAGCAAAATGACCTATTTCTCTACAGCGATAACATTTGATTTGATTAAGGAAATTCCTTTGACTATAATTTGGAGATAGATTGTCCGAAAAATCACTGTTCTCACCGGTAATATTTCCAGTTGAATTTGTTAAATTTCGTTGACACTGTTTCCTAAGTTCCGGCGGACACCACCAGTTAAATCTCGTACTCATTTTATAGTTCGTCATTATTGGTAGAGCGTAGGTACGAATCTTCTCAACAGTTTGTCTGACAAGTGTAAAACTAAGCAAACTGCCCGGGTCCTCCACCAATTTATAACAGGGGTTTTGGACGACCCTGCTATAACAACTGTTCTGGGGAGTAGCTCACAGTATAAGTAAATAAAACATTAATTCGGATACCAAAAGTTATATTAATTCAAGTTCAAATACAACTACAAGTATTGTTAAACACAGTATAAAACATACATGTAAATACACGGCAAAGTCCAGTATACATGTTTTGTTCACTACGGGTTTCCGTATGCATATCAATTCAACGTCCGTGCCTTAGTCTGTCGGGTTCCCAACTAAAAGTCACACTAAATCTTAATTGAACTATCTACTACACGTAATATTACATCATTAGCTATAAACCAACAAAATACAAAAGCATCTTAATTGTTAAGATAATAAACTTATCGTGAAAGTATTTAGACAATGGACAATGACAAACGGATTATAAGGTGCGTAATGTAAAAAGCGTTGTAATTTTTTAACATACATTTGTACATGTAGTTAAAAGTCTTTTAAAATTAACATGACTGACATGAAAGAAAACAGAAGAATTGTCTGAAAGATAAATTAAATGAAATAAATAATTCTTAAAGTTTCTATATGTTCACACTAGATGTAAATGAAAAATATCACTGTCACAATATCACCAAAATGCTGGACTTATTTTTTTATCGACAACATATTTGTTGAATTGGTGGATTTATATTTCAACAGACAGTCAGTATTCCAATGGGTGCTAATAGTGCATCCCTATTGATCGACTTGTTTTTGCACTTATATGATGCAGAGCTCATGCAAAACCTTCTCAAAGACAAAATTAGATAGAAATAAACTTCTGTCAAAAGAGCACTTTCATATATATTAATGTGTCCTGTCACTCAATAACACACATTTCAGGGAATGCGTGCATCTCATATGTCCTAGTTAACTTGAGATTAAGGATACTACCGAAAAGTTGAGTACCGAACGACATTAGTTTAACATCGCTATAAATTAATGTTACTTGTACCGAGTATGGTGACACCTACTCATTTTCTTACTTTTTCCGTGCGGTTTTAATGGGTGCTTTCTGATACATACTTTTATGATAGAGGACCCCATCCATGCAGCCACAATGATCTTGTTGGAGTCCAATATAAAGCATTATTCAGAATAAAGCATAAATAAGACTGAGTTGAGCAGCGTTCTTGGTATATCTATTTTTTTTGTGTTAAAACTATTAAGAGGTAAGGCTTCGACCACTCATCTTTTATGGAGGGGAAAGTTTTTGCCTCGGGGTAAGGAATTATTTTCGTCTTTTATCAAAAACAAACTATTTTTTCAACAACATACGGTATCAAAAATTCTTTTGGAAACTCAATTTTGAATTTATTTTTCCATTATTTTCTATGGAAACAAACTTCCTTCTTAAATAAACCTTTTCAAGACATTTAGAATCAAACATTTTATCCCCCCCCCCCCCCCCTTAAAAAAGTAAAGTTGGATCATCGATGACTTGCATTTCTTTTTTTTACATATTAATCATAACTATGGCTATTAACCCGAGACTACTATGACACAGTCAGTAAAGTACTTTTGAATATTGCAAATCTCGAAAGGGCATTAGAATCGATTTTGACAAAAAATAAGTTACGATTCTTTTTGTTTCAAGTATCAATAAAAGCGGAAATTTGAAATAATATTTCGTTGAAAGCATTCAGTTCGGCAAAAAAAAGTGTCAAAATAAGCTGAAAAACATTTCTTATGTATTATTGACTTGCAAGTCAATAATTTAACCTCAGTCAATCCGTATTCGTGTGACCTTCAATTTAACCCCTTAGCTGAAGATGAATTACACATGTACTAGGTGTGTTCAGCAATTAAAAAGGAAAAGAATGTCAACAAAGAAAGTGAAACTAAGGTGAACCATTTCGTTGACTGATTCGATCCACACTGAAAAAATCATTCTTATACAGGTCAAAAACGGTGATTAACATTTTTTATCCTATAACATGAAATCAAACAGACCTAGAAAAATCCAATTGCACGTGTTCGCTATCTATTTGTATTTATACTTATGTTTATATCGGGTTTAATGACCGCCATTAGTCTTCGGAAGTCATCTCGGTGGTTAACTAGATGTCGTCTTGACTAAAATACACACGAAATGCTGATACATATTATCGAGTCCATGCATTGTTCATTCTTTATTTAAGACTTTTTGTAATTTGGATATACTTTTTAGTATGTTTTAAATCGCACGTGAGAATTTGAGTCAAATCGGTGATCATGAACTTAAATTGATAGGTAATGCCCCTCTAAATGACACTTTCTGAGTTTAATCACTTTTACATAATTTACTATACATAGAAGATAAGTGTTTATTTCAAATCCAAGTGTGTGTGGTGTTTGAGACAGGGATCTATATTACCAGCGCAATTATAAGTCCTTATTTAAGATAATTATTGTCACAGACATGTATACATGTCTCTGTTATTGTCTACTATTATTTTTGAAGAGAAACAAACACGGAATTTTTAGTCTGTCCGTTAGTGTTTTAATTTTATTGTTTCGTCTCTGACTTTTTCCTTGGCGTCTAAGAAAAAGTCAGAAACCACCGAAATAGTTTACAATGCGCATGACAAACATGGAAAGTTGTTTATGAATTTTTGTTTGACAGTTTCTTCCATCCTACCGTCCTGAGAATAGAATGAAATTCATCAACAATTGACAATACTTTTAATTTAGACAGAAACATAGTATGTGCTTTCCCTTAAACCGCACATATCTTCAAAAACCGTTAAACATTTCTGTCGATTTTTTGAATAATTAGTCGTGTTTCTACATGATTCAGTCATTATTTGTTAAAAACTTGGCGTTAGAATTTAAATTTATTCACGTGCAGGGTTCACACTAAACTAACATCAAATGAGTCCAGATACATAGGGAGTCCACAGTTTTCTGCCTTTCGATTGCAGTACTGGATGAATACCTGGATTGCCATCAGTCATGTCAGTACTGGATCTATAATATAAACATTTCATATCAAGATTCAAGAACAATCCCTGCTGTAATAGAAGTATTTACACTTATATGCAAATGTGTCCACTAGTACTTCAAGTCAAACAAGTTCCCACAAAAATTTTGCATCACAATTTAAAACATTTGACATAACTAATCAAAGTACTGAACATCAGATGACCACAAGTTCTTGTGGATGGTCAAAAGCACTTGTCTCAGAAAAAAATCACATCTCTAAACCTGAAACTGAGGTTAATGTACATAGATATATTTTTTTCTGAGACAAGTTCGTGCGTGGATGATGAATAAATGACATGAAATTCAACCTCACCCTAACAACTATTATATTGTAGTGATACAAATCAGTATACACTGGTTTATTGTTATATACTAGTATTAATATAACAGTTACATGTATATATAGTTTTCATCCATTTGTATATCATTCTATTCTACTGTTCTCATAATGTGCAGTGCAAGTGCATGGCGGACACTCTTCTGTAAAAATTCAAATTTTTCTAAAAGATTGGATATGAGTAGGCATTCATATTTTCCCGCAAAAACAATCTTTCATGCAGAGTTACCGGTCCTTGCGGTGATTGCCGAGATATTCTTCCGGATGTGTTAACTTATATATATATATCTAACAACAAAACACTTTCATATTATTAATTGATGTTCTAAACAAAAATATTTTTATCAGTATTCATTGAAGAGACGTATTCAGTTTATAACAAACAATAAGGAATGTTATTTTGCACTCATTAATGTGCGTGTATTTATCATGTTTATAGATCGGTTACAAACCCAAAACGAAAGTTACGTAATGGAAATCTAGGCGATAGCAATACATCGGAATGCCCTCACGGTCATCTCGATGTAAAAAGGTGGTTGTTGCATGATAACAGAAGGTTATTCAGAGACCAATCTAGGGTCATTTGGAGTAGCTGTATCTAAATACCCTTATAAGTGTAAATATGTCTATTGGGAGCACAGAGATTACAGGTGCTTATTTCATGTGATGATAAAGGTCCCCTCTCGCCCTTTCTGCCTTTACCATCACCTGAAGCAAGTGCCTGTAACAGAGATGATTTTTTCATTGATTTGACTACCAGTAAAAACCCTGCTCAAAAATTTTAAAATTTTAAAATTGAATAAGTTACTGTGCAACAATTACCCAAAAACTGATTAATATTATTTGAAAACCGAATTTTATATATATGGTTAAATATAGCTCACATTGATAACAGAGACTATAATTTTGAGATGTATGTTACTTTAACTCATTTAAAATAAACTTATTTACACTTGTATGCCAATTTCTCTGCCATAACTTAAAATCGTACAAGTTCCCATAAAATTTGACATCATAATTAATAAGTGGTTGCTTGACATCAGAAGGTTAATCAGAAACAGATCAATTGTCATTTGGAGAGAAACTTCAGCTAAATACCAAAAGTGTAAATACTTTTATACAATTTTACTTCGGGAATACTATTTTTCTAAAATAACAATATGGCAGATGTAATTATTTAAAAGGTAGACAATTCTACAAATTTCATGCCATATTGTTGTACAACTAATGGATGTTAAATTTATAAATAAATGAAAACTAATTATAATTACATGACCGAGTGAAGTACACACAACAATGTATGAAATTGATTTGTCAATTTTGGTATATATTTTTTATTTTGTATCTAATTCGTGTAATTATAGATTTAATAGTACATGTATTATATATTTTTTTATTGTACATCTTGCCCATTGTTGAAGGATTATGGTGATCTATAATTGTTTAAATCCACACCATTTGGACTTAGTGGGATAGTTGTCTCTTTGGCAATCATACCACATCTTATTTTATATAATTTTCAAAATTGTCCATTCTATCATATATCTTGTTATCCATTTCTTAAAATGTATATAGTTAATGTATAAGTAGTACAGTAAGTTTGACACAAAATTTCTTATTTAATTTTTTAGCTACTGAGGGTCAAATATGGAAGGCCATTTTAACCAGGAACTAACTAACCGTTTAATACATGGCTTGCAACAAACAGGCCAGGATGGACCATATGAGAATGATCAACAACATTATATGGATGAGGAGAATGCAGTTGACTTTCAAAGATATTTAGAGCCAAATTCTCAATTTCTTGGGCAAAATTTTGAAGACATGGACCCTAGTGATTTTCCAGGACAGTCATTTATGAATAAAGGTGATAGATTGAATTCACAAAATGAAAGTATGCAGAGAGATGAAGAGCTCATTCAAATAGGTAATAACCAACAAGAGCAAACAGGAAATAATGCAGCATATCAACGATCCCGTCCAGATGGAAGCCCAATGTTTTCACAGAGCTCTGGTTTTGTGGCTGGTGATAGTGAATCAGTCGTATTTCGTCCAATAAAACAGCTAGATTTCTCTTCTCTTGATGAAACTGCTATGACTGATGTTATTCTTCCAAGAGGAATCAATCGATCTGCATCAACTCCTGAACATAATAATAGAAGTATTTCAATGATCACTAGAGAACAGTTTATTGAAAATTCAGGAATGAACCGTAATGACTCCCCTGATGGAAATTTTTATGAGTTGAAAACTTCCCCAAATCAAAGTGAACCAGATGAAGAACTTGATAGTAAGGTGATTTTCTCCCCTCTACATGATCTTAATAATTTTCAAGAAGAGCATTTTGATGCAGGTATGAAATCACCGTCCTTGTCAAGACAACAAATGAGACCACAAGTCTCCCAGAATGTAAATTATGAAAACCAGCAAAAACAAACTGCACATGAAAACTTTGAACTTACTCAACAAACACTTGATGAAACAGATATTTCTCCATTTAGAGATAATTATGAAACACATGGACAGAATACACAGAAAATGGTTAGAAATTCACCACAACATTCTATTCCTTCATTTGGTGTGGATAGAAGGTCACCAAAGTATTCACCAAGTCATGGGCAGTCTCCCCACCATCATAGTATAAGTCCAAGCCTACAGCATTCACAGCTATTTGAGACAAGAGAAATATTTGTGTCAGTTCCACAACAAAGTCAGTTTGGTCATAGTCCCCAGACTCCTGATAGTTTAAACCAGAGTGGCGGATACAGCCAGAAACTAATTGACTTTGATGAACCAAAAACCCAAAGGTTTCTTCCTTCACAACAAAATTTCCAAGCAAATACTGCCATTATTCATTCAGGTCAGGACACAGTTTATAACCATCATCAGAATAAAGTACAAGTCAGTAGGAACCAGCAAGTACAGAACATGGCTCAGACATCAGCAGTAGTAAATCAGCATGCACCCAGTGGTGGAAGAGGACAGGCAATGGCCAATCCATCAACAACACATGATGTACAGATGAAGGACACAAGTAGGTCTCAGATGGCACCAAACAACAAACCAGAGGGCAAGCCTGTGGATAAAAAACCATGGAACTATGCAAAAGGACATGGAAACAAAGATCAACAATCCTACTTGGAAAAAGGAGTGCAGAAGAGGGAAGTTCTTGCTCAGCATGCAAAATCTAGATTAGTAAGAGAGGAACCAAAGGGAAGAGCACAGGAAAAGAATGTTCAGCCACCTGTCAAAGCTAAAGGAAATGTTAGAATGGGTAATGGACAATCAACGGAAAGTTTAAACAAAGTTGGAGATTCTTTTCCAGCAAGCAGGAATACTAGGCAGGCTGTACAGGGCCAGAGCAGAGTTCCAGTATCTAGAGGTAATATTGATCAGTCCAAGGATGGACAAAGCAGATATGGTGGTGTGTCAGTGTCTAAAGGAGGAAACAAAGTAGACCGTGGTAGGACTTCAGAACAGCACAAGACAAAGGAAGAATACTCACCTGTCACACAAATGGAACAATACTCTGAAGCTCATGTAAGTTTTGATTTACCAGTAAACACTTTCATAAGATTTATATTTAAAGAAAGCTATGTTACATTCTCTGATGGACTCTTATATAAATTTATCATCTTGTAAAAAATCAGTTTGGGAATGTTATTATTAATAATAAAAAAGAAGTATAGATAAAAAAAATTTTTTTTTAATAATCTCAAAAGTAGGTTTGATATTTACTTTGTGAGATTGAAAACAAATTAAGTAAACTTGGATTAGTTTTATTCAGATCCATGTAAGAAAACTGCAATGATAATTGAATGAAATAATAAATATGGGTAAAAAAATTAAAAAAATATTTTGGAGATTAACAACAATTTGTCATATTTATTTTTTTATTCCAAAGAAATGTAAAATTATGGATCATTTTCCAGGTTTCTTTTTTCATAATTTAAACTTTCATTTTAGGATAGTAGTTTGGATGTGCAGGGAATGGAAGATGTCCGTAGTCAACTGAAGAATATGTTGAAAATATCAACGGGTGAATCTAATTCTATGATGGGTAAGTGATCTAGAAAATATCTTATTTCATTCTAAAACATGTTTGATATAGTAAAAAGGTTATCATAGAGAAGTTTATTGATGAGTAAACTCAGCAGACTCAATCATTGGCCATAATGTTAAGTGACTTTGAGTGAAGAGCCTATTTTATATATCCTTGACCTCCATAAGGATAACATTTATTACATTTAGATGCACTAGAATTATGTCCAGATACGAAATATTCCACCACACCTAAAGAACTATTTTAACCTGTTTAGAAATACATACTTAGGAACAAATAAACTTTTTGGTTGCCATGTCACTCACCAACGAAATAAGACTTAACAATTTTAACGTACACATATAACATGATATTTAAGTGTTAGGTACAGTTGTATAGAACAGCAAACTAACTTCATCTTGGTATTTTAAATTTCTTGTTAGTAATTGTCTAAGTTCCTGTAAACAAGAATAGTTTTTTATACAATATTTTTTTTGGAATAATCAGTAATGGTTTTAATTCTATTCATGCTTCAGTGGAATTTTGTTTGAATGAAACAAGTTTTAATGTGTTTAAATAGTAATATCCTCAATAAAATTTTAAAAACTGTGAATTGAGAAATTAATTTTTCTTTCTGATTTGTAGGAGCAAAATCATTTGACTTCAATGAAGATCCTGAAGCAGTTCATATTGAACCATACCCAGGAAATGCAGAATATTCATTAATGAGGTAACAAGATTTGTGTTTTGTGTAAATATGGCATCTATGGTGTCTACTAAATCCATTTTGAAGGAGTCCTGATTGGTAGTCCCATGTAATTGTACATTGATAGTCTAATGCTAGATCTATTTTAAGACTTACTTAGTCTTAATTAGAGTTATGTAGGGGTTTTCTTGTGAAATAACTTTTCATAATTATGCACATGAAACTTTGGACCATCAGAAAGTTCTCTTTCTTTTAAAACAAATGAATATAGTGATGAAAGACTCATCTGACCAGCAAGATGACTAGGTATTTAGTAAAGAGAAAAAGACCTTATAAAAAAGAGAAAAAAGAGTATAGGCCCAAAAAGTATTTGTTATTCTGATTAATTTTATTTGCTAGATTATCTAACTACATTGTATTTCCATTGCTGTTTTAGTGGAAATGGTCAGGACAATGTATCAGAGTTACTGGAGAATTTTCCAAGTATAACTGCCTGTATGTGGACAGATAACTCTTCTATAAACAGAAACGATGTGTCTGTACATAATGAAAATACAAGACTAAGAGAAATTTTAGAGAAGGAAAGATATAGAAGGAAGGTATAATATTTTAAAAAGGTGGGGAAAATACTGATGATGGGCAATCAAAAGCCATATGTCTAAGAAAAACAGGCAACACCATGAACAAAAGAAAAAATATTAAAAAAACAAACCAGTGGCAGTCCATAGAACTTGAGACAATAAAAACTAAAGATTGAGCAATGTAAACCCAACCAAAAACCAGGGATGAGATTGTGTGCTCTGGTAGGTTAAATACCATTCCAATGTACATATAGATAGTGATGAGGAAAACAAAGAATATACATGTTACATTTACATTAAATTCTTATTTCCATTTACAAGCTTTATATGAGGAATAATTAATTAATAAAAAATTTGCAAGTTGTATTATGTTGTGGATTCATTATTATTTGTGGGATACCCATTGTCATGGAATTGTGGGTAAGGGAAAACCACAAATTTAGATGTTCAATTAAGTACAAATTTTCTATATGCTTGTATTCAGACTTTGGCAAACCAGGAAATCAAATATCCAAGAAAAAATACAGTTTTTCCTCAATCCACGAAAATTTGTATCCACTAAAATAAATTAATCCACAGTATTGGATTTTTGTTGGTCATAGAACTTCTATGGTAAGCTGTATGAGATGGGTAGCGTGATTCATGAATTTCTATGGCAAGCTGTATAGGATGCAGAGGATGTTTTATTATTGGTTAATTCATGTCATCCTTAAAAAACGATTAAGTATTACTTGTTACTATTTCAGCATTGTGAACAACAAATACAGAAGTTGAATATAAAGGTAAATACTTGATTTCAGTGAATGAAGTTAATTGTAAATGGAATTTTCTTCATAAATGGACATTTTTATAAGAAAAAGTACTTTCACTGTACTTGAAATATTGATACTTTTTGGTACTTTTACGTCTCATAAACAAAAGATAGCTTATTTTATACATTTGTTTATGATTTTTGTCGAGCCTGCGACTTTTGTCGCAGAAAGCTCGACATAGGGATAGTGATCCGGCGGCGGCGGCGGCTACGGCGGCGGCGGCGGCGGCTTTAGCTAACTTCTTAAAAGTTTTATATTTTAGAGGGTGGAAGACCTGGATGCTTCATACTTTGTATATGGATGCCTCATGTTACGAAGTTTCCGTCAGTCACATGTCCAATGTCCTTGACCTCATTTTCATGGTTCAGTGACTACTTGAAAAAAAAGTTCAGATTTTTTGTAATGTTAAATTCTCTCTTATTATAAGTAATAGGATAACTATATTTGGTATGTGCTTACCTTGCAAGGTCCTCATGCCCGTCAGACAGTTTTCACTTGACCTCGACCTCATTTCATGGATCAGGGAACAAGGTTAAGTTTTCGTGGTCAAGTCCATATCTCAGATACTATAAGCAATAGGTCTAGTATATTCGGTGTATGGAAGGACTGTAAGGTGTACATGTCCAACTGGCAGGTGTTATCTGACCTTGACCTCATTTTCATGGTTCAGTGGTTATAGTTAAGTTTTTGTGTTTTGGTCTGTTTTTCTTATACTGTATGCAATAGGTCTACTATATTTGGTGTATGGAAGGATTGTAAGGTGTACATGTCTAGCTGGCAGGTGTCATCTGACCTTGACCTCATTTTCATGGTTCAGTGGTTATAGTTGATTTTTTGTGTTTTGGTCTGTTTTTCTTATACTGTATGCAATAGGTCTACTATATTTGGTGTATGGAAGGATTGTAAGGTGTACATGTCTAGCTGGCAGGTGTCATCTGACCTTGACCTCATTTTCATGGTTCAGTGGTTATAGTTGAGTTTTTGTGTTTTGGTCTGTTTTTCTTATACTGTATGCAATAGGTCTACTATATTTGGTGTATGGAAGGATTGTAAGGTGTACATGTCTAGCTGGCAGGTGTCATCTGACCTTGACCTCATTTTCATGGTTCAGTGGTCAAAGTTAAGTTTTTGAGTTTTGGTCTTTTTTTCTAATACTGCATTCAATAGGTCTACTATATTTGCTGTATGGAATGATTGTAAGGTGTACATGTCTAGCTGGCAGGTGTCATCTGACCTTGACCTCATTTTCATGGTTCAGTGGTCAAAGTTAAGTTTTTGAGATTTGATCTTTTTTTCTAATACTATATGCAATAGTTCAACTACATTTGGTGTATGGAAATATTTTATGATCTATATGTCAGTCACGCAGGTTTTATTTGACCTTGACCTCATTTTCAAGGTTCATTGCTCAGTGTTAAGTTTTTGTGTTTTGGTCTGTTTTTCTTAAACTATAAGCAATAGGTCAACCATACTTGTTGTATGGAAGAATTGTTAGCTGTACATGTCTGCCTAGCATGGTTCATCTGACCTTGACCTCATTTTCATGGTTCATTGGTCAATGTTTAGTTTACTTGGTTAATGTTAAGTTTATGTGACAGTTGTATTAAAGCTTTATATTTAGGACTATCAACATAATATCAATGATTAGTAAAGAAGGCGAGACATTTCAGCGTGTGCACTCTTGTTTAATACAGTTGTTTTAATTTATGTTTTTAAATTTTAGTATCTTAAAAAACATGCAAATATTTTAATCTGGCAGTTTTGATATTACAATATATAGCGAAATATATATATTTTATATCTACATAAGGCAGGTAACTAAAAAAGCTTGAATTATCTCCCCTTTCTGTAAGTATACAGTGCATTTTAATACAATTCATACTTCTGCATTCTTTTAACAGCATTTAGAAACACAACAGCAGTTAGCAGTTGCAGTGTCTACAGATAAACGGAAAGATATAATGATCGAACAGTTAGACAAGGTAATTCACCATATTAAGCTTTTGAATAAGTATTTTTAAGTTATTCATTGTAAGTTGGTATAGATGGTTCTTTAGGATTCTGTCGTCTCTTTTACGGACTAGCTTTATCAGATTTCAATAATGCAAAGGAACAGTTATGATTAGACCTTTATGTTGCCTCATATTTTCAAGGTTTTCAGCATTTAGTATACATCTTTGGGGTATTTTCATTTTATAGCCTTGGTGTACATGAAAAAAAGATGATTATATAAAATTCACAAATTAAAAAAAAAAATTGTTGAATGATTGATTACCTTTATGATAGATATAAGAAGATGTGGTATGAGTGCCAATGAGACAACTCTCCATCCAAGTCAAAATTTATAAAAGTAAACCATTATAGGTCAAAGTATGGTCTTCAACACGAAGCCTTGGCTCACACCGAACAGCAAGCTATAAAGGGCCCCAAAAAATTACTAGTGTAAAATCATTCAAACGGGAAAACCAATGGTCTAATCTATATAAAAAACGGGAAACACTTATAAACCACATCAACAAACGACAACTACTGAACATCAGATTCCTGACTTAGGACAGGTGCAAACAATTGTAGCGGGTTTAAACGTTTTAATGGTACAGTAGACTCCGGCAAATCGGATACCCAAAATGTCAGCTAAAAATATCCGATTGCCCGATATATTCAATTAGACGATGAATGTATATTCATTGAATATTCTGCAATAATGAGTAGATATAATCCTGAGATGTTACTAACCCTGACAATTGCTAAATATGTGAAAGGGCTGGAGGATTGATAGAGTGATTTTTATCAGTTACATCTCCACGATGTTTGTGTAAAAAATTATCAGCTGATTATGTAATGATTAAATTTGTTTGCAGTTTTTAAATCCTTTATTTATTAAAATAAATCAAATGTCCTGAAATATTTATGTGAATTATTATCTACCATCCATAGTTTGTCTTTATTTGTTTTGTAAGTAAATTAATATCCATTATTTACATTATCACACAGGTAAACTAATTTGGCTATAAATAGATCTGAGCATGTCTGTGTAGAATCTCCAAACTAAAATCGTATTTGTTATAATTTTATTTCTTTAAATAATCAAATTTAAATTTATTAAAATAATCATGATTGATAAAATATTATTGCATAAAGTTTACGTTTTCTGAAGACTATTAATATTTAGGTCATAGTTCTAGAGGCTTCCTAACAAATTTGTAAACATCCAAAATGGCGTCCATGACATGTGGTTACTTTTGCACATGTGAAAAAATATATCTGACAAAAGTCAGATTTCTCTTGTCAAAAGGGATTTATATTTATATTGCAATAAATTATTCAGAAGGAGGTACATTCAGTTTAGATCATATTTCTGATTCTGTGAACATTTAGAGTTTAATCAAAATTCTCCAAACAGCAACGTCAACTTGTCAACTGAGTCTTGCATACTTTATAAATAAATTCAAACCATTTGAAGTAAAAGGGCATCTAATTCACGTCACAAAGGAAGACAATGATTAAAGACAACAATTTATTAAGAAATAGTTCCTTTTATTTAGTAAAAACAAAATCTTCTTGTCTGCAAGATTGTAAATTCGTAACTTCTGGGTCCATTTCCTGTCAGAAAAACATTGAAAATATCCGATTGTGCATGGTTTTGAACAAAATGACCTGAATATTCTTATCCGATTTGCCGATATATTCTTATATCCAAGATCGATTACACGATAAAATTAACATTAAACATATAGGGAAGGGTTTGGTGTTTTGAAATAATATTACAATAGCCGATATATTCGTTTAGCCGATATCCGATTAGGTGGAGTCTACTGTACCAAACCTTCACCCTTATCTGAAACAATAGTGTAACATCACAACATAGAAAGACACACTATAAAATATCAATTGAAATGGCTTAACTCAATCAAAAGACATATTAACACCAGTGAACATACACTGAACAAATAAATTTGATCTATGATACAATGTAAATACAAAATAAATAAACTAAGGGAAGAATAATTAAAGTAACATGTTAAACCGCTGTGAAATGTTAAACAATTTAAGAAAAACAATATGCTTGAACAAAAATATCAGCAATTTGCAATTACTTTAAACACAGGTAAATGAAAAAATTTTGTTGTTAGGTATACGTGTACAGTTCAAATGGAAAAAAAAAATATTTTTACAAAATAAATAATTTTGATGTTCATAGTACGAAGAAGTGAAAATTTATAGTAATACCAAACACTTATCACAGCTGGTATATAGACCAGATATAACCCCGAATAACATTAAATAACAAAAAAGCATTACAATTAGTATCAACAGGAACTTACTTATAACTATAACCTTTATTTTGTAATTAACAATTAAAAAACAATTATTTTGAAACAAAGTGTTTATTATTTGCATTATTCCTGCACATGGGATAAACTGAATGTCAGACCCACTTTGTATTTTCTAGCAATTAGGTAAAGTATTGGAAGGATGGAAGGTTCAAGATCACGAGAAGACTATATCACTAGAGAAAAGTAGACAGGAGAAAATGAAATTAGAAGAAACTATAAACAAACAACAGAAGGTATCTTTTAAACTTGCTTCTATTTATTTGATTATGCTTATAATTATTTGAAAATATTGGTGCAGGTGAGAAATTTTAGTGTGTGTCCTCTTATTATCCCAGTAAATTAAAAAGCAAATTATAGGTCAATATTTACCGAAAATGCTTAATATCAAATCAATGACTGCTGCTGTTTTAAATCATATCAAGTTTGAAATTTGATAGTCTAAATGGTCTTCATGGCAAAAAAAATGACAGAATGAAGAAGTCTTTTATTTTTTAGTCCAGTCCTAGGTAACTATGAGGTTAAAAAGAATTGACATTTTACACTCATCTTTGATGCCATTTAAGGTCTGAATTAAAATTGGTTATTTTTTGGCACAGGTGAGTCTTGTGAAATATTGACATGAGGTCCTATAGATAGTGTATGATACATATAAAAAGAAGTTACTAAGACTGATTGCAACTTGTAACTATATTATTTCGTTATTATACTGATATTTTATACGACCGCAAAAATTAAAAAAATTTTGGTCATATATTGGTATCACGTCGTCGTCGTTTGAAGATGGATGATTTCCGGGGATATAATAACTTAAGTATAAGTAAATAGAAATCAATCAAATTTTAACACAAGGGTTTATAACCACAAAAGGAAGGTTGGGATTGATTTTTGAGGTTTTCGTCCCAACAGTTTAGGAATTGGGGGCCAAAAAGGGGCACAAATAAGCATTTTTCTTGGTTTTCGCACAATAACTTTAGTATAATTAAATAGAAATCTACGAAATTTAAACACAAGGTTTATGACCACAAAAGGAAGGTTGGGATTGATTTTGGGAGTTTTGGTCACAACAGTTTAGGAATTAGGGGCCAAAAGGTCCACAATTAAACTTTGTTAGATTTCATCAAAAATTGAATTATTGGGGTTCTTTGATATGCCGAATCTAACCGTGTATTTAGATTCTTAATTTTTGGTCCCGTTTTTAAATTGGTCTTCCTTAAGGTCCAAAGGGTCCAAAATTAAACTTAGTTTGATTTTAACAAAAATTGAATTCTTGGGGTTCTTTGATATGCTGAATCTAAACATGTATTTAGATTTTTGGTATTTGGGCCCCTTTATCAAATTGGTCCACATTGAGTTCTAAAGGGTCCAAAATTGAACTTTATTTGATTTCATCAAAAATTGAATTCTTGGGGTTCTTTGATATGCTGAATCTAACCATGTATTTAGATTTTGGATATTGGACCATAATAGGTGACTGTCCAATTTAAATTTTTTAAGTTCTTAGACCACATTCATTCTGTGTCAACTATTTAATCACAATCCAAATTCAGAGCTGTATCAAGCTTGAATGTTGTGTCCATACTTGCCCCAACTGTTCAGGGTTCAACCTCTGCGGTCGTATCAAGCTGCACCCTGCGGAGCATCTGGTTATATGGATGTTAGAAGGCAAGACCTCTTGATGAGTAACACTTGTTACTGGAAAACAATTTGATTTTGAAGGGAGGAATAGTGTATGGATTTGGGCTAGAACATTCTGTATAAAAGAGAACTAATGTGAAACACTAAAGAATTTGTGTTCGCACTGCTTTACAGGTGATAGATTCCTTTGAACAAGATATGGCTCAAGCTTTAGAAGTGGTGAGAGTGGAACGAGACGAAGCAGAAACTACTGTTGAGGAACTTAGATCACAGGTAAATGTTGTCCACCTATGTCAGTATCTTTTATAGACAATAGAAAAGAGTCGCTTTGATGCCTTGTCAACGATAGTAGGCGGGCATAATGTTTATTACTCATTGCCTGTGTCAGTCCATAAGTCCATCTGTCCATTTATCCCTCCTGTTAGGTTGAAATTTTGGTTGAAGGTACACTGGCAGACCTATTTGGAAAATCACCGCGATTTTTGTAAAAACTCCGGTGTTTTTTGGCTAATCTCCGTGAAACGGATAAAAATTAGAGGTTCATCGTAAATTTGCTGTATTTCAGGATATTTTGCATGTTATCCGGAGATTTTCCGTGTCGGCGGGAATTAGCCGTTTGTCCGATAAAACTGGTGTGTATTGAGTCATTGATAGAATCACTGATGCGTGAGCGACGGTTATTAATAGGTCGTTGTATAATCCGTTATGCGTGAGCGACGGTTATTAATAGATCCTTGTAGTGTGGTACAAATTATGATATATAGATGTTTACAGAATTAAAAACAAAGTAACTATAATCATTTGAGATATAAGGAATTTTCAAAAATATTTTATATAATGTTTCTGTAAATTTAGAGAGAAACAGATTATATATATCTGGGGATTAGATGGTTACTTTTTTAAATTATATGTCAGAGGCCGCAGATCATTTAATTGCTTCTAGAACCGTTTATTGAAACAAAAATTAAATGAACGGCCAGGGGAAAGTCTTTAGTAACCTTAGTTGGTATCAGGGGTCAACTGGGTTGAGTTCAATATCGTAGCAGCTACGTAGCGGCTATGTAGTTGCTATCAATATCTATGTAGCAGCTTATCTATAGCTACACGTTCAATAGTAAAAATCTACATAGCACTACGTAGCCGCTACGATATTGAACGCAACCCTGGTAATACATAGAGTCAGACCGTCGTTGCATAATATGTATATGTATTTACACACAATGCAGTGCATTCAAACTCGATTTCGCAAACTCGTGGGTTGTCTTTTAGACAAAAAAGTTCAATTTAAAAGATATGAAAGTTACGTACATGTATACAAGCATAGATATAATAGCCATTATATCTATGATACAAGGAATTGTATATTTAACGTCAATGCCTGTCTTGTAAACTAATCTGTTACACTTTGAAATGTAAATAAGTTCTTTTTAAAAGATTTGACGGTTATTTCACATGAATAAAAGTTCTTCTGATCATTTTTGTTTTACAATGATTTTTGAAAGTGCGATCTTAAAACTAAGTTTGTCCGGACTTGCATGGAATATTTGCCACTGGAAGTTAAGCAACCAACAATCAATCATCTTAAAATAAAATAAATATGCCTGAGCGATAATATTCTTAAATTTTTTAATGTGAAACACAGTTTCTTCATTTATTAGAAATCACTTTCAGGTCTAATGGTAAAGTGAATATACATTCCGGGATGAGATTAATTTACTATAATTGCCAAAGAAAAAGAAATGATATTACGTTTCTTTTAATTAAATTTTAGACTGCAACAAATGTAGATCGAACATTTTTAATAATGAAATAATGCACGTCAAAAATTTCGCTCACAATAGAGATGTTAAAAATAGATTTTATCAATTGTGTCACTGCACGAGATCTTCCAACGGCGGGAAACATCATGTAGCTATAAACACAGGTGATGTTACTGACCGATTGTGGAATGTCAATTTAGGGTTAAATTTGATGTGTAATGATTGACATTATTGTGCGCGTTAGGTTGAGGCTCTAGAAGGTTCATTTCAATTGATAACCAAAATTATAAAATTAAGTTTTTTTTTCAAATCAACGTTTAAGTGTAAAATTTTGTGGGAGGGAAACTTTATTTTGTTTGTTTTTTAGGGGCACAGGGAGTTACCATAAAAATCTATAGGAACATTGAATAAAACAATTTCGAAGGTCACAACTTGTAAACTAATGAAAACAATGATAAACACTGCTGACAAGCGTAAACAGTTGTACATTACTTAGAAAATAGAGAGAGTGAAAAAAAAGGACGTTGATGATGGTTACTGTTCATGTTAATTTTGAAAGATCGTGGTAACTGATTTCTCGGATGGTGGTACTTGCCAAAAGGTTGTATAAAAGGACAAACTAAGTACAATTTTAGCCGTGATATATGGGGGCCCCTCACGCTTGAATTAATTTACGTTACGTATTTCGTCCTTTATTATGACCTACAGTTGATCATAGTTGAGTACTACGTATCGGTCAGGGGCGGATCCAGACACTGTAAAAAAAGGAAGGGTGTGCTAGCCAGGGTTTCTCAGAAAAAAGGGGGTGCTAGTACAGTTGGCCTAATGTATTTGAAGGCCAGGATTGGAAGATTATCAGACATTCTGTGGCTCAATTTTAATTTTATTTTCTAACTGTGAAGTGCTACCTAAGCCGTGGCCTGGAGAACCATACCCAATTTTTTAAAAGGGTGTTCCAAAGGCATATTAAAATACTTCCAGCATTATACAGGTCCTGAGGTACAATTTCTTGGGGAGGAGATTTCAATTGCTGTTATGTGGGTTAATTTTTTGTTACTAGGAATTTTCGTTTTTTTTTTTCATCAGATTTGCCCCAATTGTCTATTCTGTTAAGGTTCACAAAAGTCAAAATATATAACACTTCATAAACATCTGAACTTTGCCTGTATTTTTCAACCTATAATGAATAAAGTCCTAAACTATATGCAAATATCTTCATTTAAACATACTTAAACATATGCACACCGTGTAAATTGTAAATAAAATTGAAATTGTTATGTTGTGGCCAACCCGGTTCTTGGGGTGAACACCAAATTTTCCAAAAGAAGTCTGGAGGCCTATTCTGATCATATTCTGATCCCCAATTTGATGAGAGAAAAAAATATTGTGGTCTGGCAGTTGACAAAAAAAATCGGAATTCCAGAATTCCCCATACCGTTTATTTCAAGAAAAAAATGTTTGGTGCATGGCAGTGGGGAATAACGTTGTGTTCCGAATTATTTCCGACTCAGAACAAACCCCTAACCCTTTGAATTTAAATGTTGCTCCTATATACCTTACTATCGTGAATTTTCAATGTTTCATGTATATTTCAGGTCAGATCCCAGGGCATACTATGTGTTCAAAATTATAAAAACGTAGAAAATTCATGATTCATGTACGTGTAATATGTCTCAAGAAAATGGATTGAAGGCATATTAATTATCAAATTATTTATTTGTACAAAAAAACACATAGGCAATGAAAACCGTGTGTGCGCCAAGAAAGGTCAATACGTATGACTCAACTCGGAGGCTGATTTAGGGGCAGGCTGTCCAGATCCCTCCTTATGGAACTACATATGGTTAATTTTGACTTTTATTTACTTGTTTCACTTACCCGAATAATTCAGTCGTTATATTCCGCTGATCTACGATTATTTCATTAACAAGTATATAGAAGAGATCGATTACGGAGAGAGACTGAATTTTTCGGGGTTAGTTCCACTCCGACCTTTTTTTAGTTTATACAATAAAGCAAGTCTATTTAATCCATTTCTCCGCTGTTTTCGTTATATATAGCACTTTCGTCATACTAAGGTTAGGTTTCAAAGAGTGGATCATTAATATGAACATGTCGGGGTCTTTTAGAGCTGACAATGCGGTATGGGCTTTGCTCATTGTTGAAGGCCGTACGGCGACCTATAGTTGTTAATTTCTGTGTCATTTTTGGTCTCTTGTGGAGAGTTGTCTCATTGCCAATCATACCACATCTTCTTTTTTTATATATAATAACAATATCATAATTACAAATACTAATTCTCCTTACGTCATCCGAGAATACACGTGTCTTTTCTTTAGGCTAAAGCGCGAGTAGATGGTCAGATATATATATATGGAATTTAAAAGGACCTTGACTGGCTACACAGCCCTTGCACGATCTGATCGATGGTCAGAAAGATGACCGTCAAGTTCTAAGTGCACACAAATGGTCACATGTCATGAATATCCATGAACGTACAACGAACTAAATTTTATATATACGAATCCTTGCTGTACCACAGGTGTCCTTGTGTAATGAAATTTTAGGGTATTGGTGCATAGTCAAGTGATTAGATAAACTTGGATAATCAATGAGAGAGAATGAATGACCATTTTAAGTTAATCCAGGGACTTTCTATTGATTGTTGTTTGCTTTACGCTGCATTAGCACAAAAATGCTATATCGCAGCGAGAGCTTATTCCAATATTTTTACAATTTAAGGTATATTTTTAAAATCAGGCAATAAGGTCCTTCAATAAACTAAAAATCTAGACTAAAGGGACTTTCTATACTAACGGGATAAGATAAGATAAAACTTTTTTTTATTAAATAATGAAAGCTTTTTCAGATAAAGGGAGTGTCGGACATAGTTTTAACTCTAAATGAAACTGTTCTTTAATTCATAAATAATAAAACATAAAATTAAAGGCATTTTAGACCCTTCCTACAAACAAAAAAGATGAGCATGAAAAATAAGTGAAAGGGGGGTGGGCATAAGTGACTGGTTACGAATTAATTTTAATAGTAGTTCACCGTGCAAGAAGTTTTAAAGTACTAATGGAATAGTGTGACAGAAGCGGATTTAGAGGGGGCCAGGTACCCCTTTTCTTGAAAAAAAAATGTGGTTGATTATACATGTATTGGGAATCACTGAAGCATGACTGAAGCGACCCCCTCTTAGGCAGTCAGTGCATATGAAAATTTCTGGATCCGCCACTGGTGTGCTAGCTTATAAATGATATATTTTTTACTTCCTTTATTTTTTTTAATCCTTACTCCGTCTTTGTAAAATAATCGAGACTTCATCAGGTATACACGCGGAGAAATAAAATATTGAAGTGATTTGAGTACCGATATATGAAATGTCTCCTTGGTAGCTGGTATCCCTTGTGGGATTAATAAATTGAACTCATGTGTGCCGGAATAGGTCATTAATATATTTAATTTTTATTATTTGTCAACTAATGGTACGGTAATAACTTTTATTTTTTT